ACGCTCGTACTATTTCCGTAGTTTGTTTTCATTGTATGGTACTCTTATGTTTTCTAATATCTGGTTAAATAAATGAATATAAATAAAATAGTTCGCTCTAACATATTGACACCTTTTATAAAAGCTGGTTCGCACGCACATGGAGAATACCCCTTGCACCTCTATGCAGTCCGTGGAGATCGTAGTTACCAACGATGAGCCACTGCCAATAACTTATCAAAATATGACGAAAAATTGTAGTTAGACAATAAATAATCATCACCCTATTTTCCTATATTTGTATCCTTGTCCTAAACAAAAAAAATACTTCAGAAACCACTCTCTTGCGACAGCCTCATAGAAAGCTATATTTTTATTATTTCACAGTGTAAATTATAAATACAGGTGGTTACATAAGGGAAAAAATACTTTTGGGTTTTTTAAAGCTTAATTTTTACTATGTACTCTTTCTTACCACCCTGTTTATTAATTATCCTAATATCGAATGAATCTACTAGAGTAGATCTTCCATGCGATAATCGCGTGACAAGAAGGCAAATATAATAAAATTGAAGTGTTGCGATACGTTACGTTTTCAAAATTTTTATTCGCCTTGTACCTTCGAAACGAAGGCGTTTTACGAAAACGATTTAAGGACAAAGTAACATTCGAATAGATTAAAGAATTAGTCCATTTCTTAGTGAACATACTGCCAGAAGAATATATTTCTACTCAGTGAATTAACGAAAGATGGGTAATATTGTCAGAATTTTTTAAAATAAAGGTCTGGAATTTTGGGCTTGCTGCCAACAATGGACAACGCACAGTTATTATGTAAAAAACATAAAAAATGACGAAATTTCATATTGCAGACTAGGTAGTTTTTAGTATGTAAATATACAGGTTGTGTTCAATGCGAAGTCTAAAAAGCGAGAAAAACGGCAACGCGCGATATCGAGCACGCTGTTGCAGCTCGATCGGCGTCGGCGGTCGAGCGCTTCACCTGAGAAAGAGAGCGTTGACGTTCTTTAGCCTAATGCTTAATCACACGTAAAAGGATCTCACTAACAGTAAAAATTTGTTGCTAATGCGGCGATAATTTCACGCAGCTACTTAAAATTCTACAAATCGATAGGTTTCATACTTCTAAGTGACCACAACAAAATTGGTGTCGATTGATCAAGTAGTTTTTGAGAATTTCTAATTGTTTATCCCAAAACACCTGCCTTCCGGCCGCCAGTACTAGTTTACTGAGAAATATACAGGGTTCGTTCAAAGGGGATTTTATAACAAAATAAATGTGTTTACCTTGCCGGCATGAATCACAAACCATTCCGAACGATAATTGTTATTTTTATGCGAAAAACGAAGGGTTACGCTTTTTTCTTCTAAACAAATTCAAACATTTTGTATTTGTGAGTAATTGAACAGATTCGCTAAGATATTCAAAAAAAATATATTATACACATTTCAAAAACAAAGCGGATGTGTCTATCACGTCTTGTTGCGAAGTAATCATTTTTTTTTCAAGATTTCTTTATACTCTTGTGTATACATATTTAGAGCTGATGAGCCTTAAAGTTTATAAGAAAATATTTCATACTGAAATGTTCTGAACTGTTAGCACGCCAACTGAAGACAGAATTATGTTTCAAACTGTCTTAGACTAGTTAGTATGTAGCATGTGCTAAAATGGCTGCATTATTGCTGACTGCACGACTTAAAAGTAAGTTAAAATAAGTAAGTCACGTAATCCAGTTTCTTTACAAAGAAATAAAATTCTCTGGACCTTCCTTCTAAAAGTATTAATACAGATTACAACAATGCAAGTATTACTAAGCAATGATAATTCTTACAACATACCGGCTCATACAACATCTAAATATAAAAAATGTTTCCTTTACACGGCACCATCTATGCTTAATGATTATTCCAAATTTTTCGAAGCACTTCTATCTATAATTTTAAAAGCGAGTTAAAAAATGCTATATAATTAAATGCAGGCTCTTCAAAATAATTATTCCTATTATATCATATAAAGTTATGTATACTGAAAATTGTTACTCATAATATGTGTATGTTAGTTTCACATCTGTAGTTTAGTAGGCTGATGTGAAAAATGACATTGCCAGCCCCAGCCTTTTGGGGTATTATATGTTTTGTATTTATGTTATGTATATACTCCAATAAACATTATTATTATTGTTATTATTATTATTATTATTATTAAAATGACTGGAGTTCAAAATGTCGGAAAATGAACTCGAGAAAACGAAAAAACAGTAAACAAATATCAACCAATTGTAGCGAACTGGCCGTCTGAAAAATTAGGCAAAATGCTCGGTATTAGTCCCTAATACATTATTTAAAGTTTCAGATTGTATCTTGTATACTTTTCAAGAGTATTGTAGTATTAATTCAAATACCTTGCAACGATTCTTTGTGGATACGAAGTCATATATATGGGATAGATGACATTACTACTGACATTCAAGCTGCGTAGCTAATATTATTTAGAAGCTCAAAATCAAAAGCGTAATACAAAAATGAGGGAACAAATTATCATGGTTGTTATTTGTAATAAACGTAATGCGTGCGGAAAAGTTATGCACGCTGGTAGACAAAAGCATTTATTTCTCCAAATTAAAAAAAAAATATAATAGAAAAACCACTACGACGCCTCTTGATTTACTGGATCTTTATACCACTATACTTAACACTGACAAATGTCACGACAACGTTGGGGGCAAATACAGGGTGATTCACAAGTCGTGACCAAAAATGAAACACATCATACATAGGACCACGTTTTAAGGGGGGGGGGAGGTCTAATATGTAACATTTTTCCTCGAGGGCTTCATTAAAAAGATACGGAGTGTTGAATTTGAAAATTAGAAACAATTTTTTTTTAATATCTTCAAAACCGTCAACTGGAATAAACTAAAATTTGGTATGTGCATTTACCTAAGTATTTTCCAGATTCAGAAGTCCCTTAAAATTAACGTACACCAGTGGCGGAGATACAGGAGATTAGTGGCATTATTTTTCCAAAAAAAATGGTACGTGACTGTTTTTTCTGGAAACGCGCAGTTTCGAATTTTTAGAAAAAAATGTCCAGGGAATTATATTTTTTCGTAAAGAAACTTTTTGCCCAATGCCCTAATAACATTATCATAAAGATCTAACAGGTGTGAGGTTGTACTATGATGCTTCCTGAAGCCCGACTGACAAAGATATTTTAAGTTCCTCTTTGAAGACCTATTGTGAATAAAATAAAAATAATAATGTATTCGTTATTCTAAATATCACTAGATTAAGCATCATTTTATAACAGTTTACCCCATCATACCATTATGTAATATGCATCTATCAGTAACCACATAATCTTAGATCAAGCATTTGTTTGCAATGCCTACTTGAATAAAATAAAAAATAGAAAAACATATGTTTCTTCATAACTAAGAAAACCAATGTAACATCGTGGAATTCGTAGAAAAAGATGCTATCAGATGAACGTACTTTTTTTTGGGCCATATAAAAAAATAAATTTGATGGTATCTCAAAAACGAAACGTCGGGCACAAAATTTAAAAACAGCATCATGTAGTGCCTAAAACGTGCCAATGAAAAAGTTCCATCAGATTTTTGATATTAGTAATAGTCAGAAAAAAATAAAAACGATTTGACCAAATTTTCCTCTTGTACCTCAATAAGCCATGAAATTTTTACTTCTCAACGGCATATAAATACGCCTCAAAGAACGCAGTTTGTTCCTAATTTAACCTAATCTACAAAAGGCATTGGGGAACCTTATGTAATCGATAGCCTAGTGGCAATATCACGTATCATCAGAAAAAATGGAGTTTCTTTGGGTCCACCAATCGCTAAGCTATCAATAACTATTTATGTCGTTTTCCGTGATTTTGTTGAATTGTTTGATTCAGAAATTTCCCATCTAATTAGGTGGAACCAAATTGGTAATTACTAACGGTAAATTTGACTTAAATTTCATCAAATGCCGTAAGCCTAGTAAGACTTCACGGTATTCTCTCTAAGAAGCATGCTTGCGTTAGGCCTGCCAATTAAGCTCGCACAGCTCTTGTTTTTCACTCCAAGTTTTTAGATATAGAAATAATAATTACTTTGTATAAAATGAGTAATGACCGAACACGTAAGTAGGTAGTCGTAACCTATCTTTTCCTAAAACATCCAGACCACAAAAAATTATCAAGCATCTGAGACTGATTGGGAAACTAAGCAATCTCTGTGTCGCGAATATTTTCAATGGCCTTCCAAAAAGAGATGTGATTCGAACCTTCGAAGAAATGCCTTTTTTTGACTTTTCGTAGATTTATAGAAATTAAACCTTTTAGTTATTCACCAGAAGAGTGACAAAAAAGGTATGTACGTATGTTTATCTCATTTTAATAATTTTTAGCAAATATGTTCAGTGTCCCTTACTGGTAAAATGGAAATTTCCAGCTTGATTCGTCAACTGACTGCAGAAGCTGGTTCAATAATGTGTTGAGGATACAGGATTTCTTATACACTCATCGACACGCCCGGGCATCGTGCTGAAAAAGTGGTCGATATCCTGTTGGGGTATCTCATTCCAGGCTTCTGCAACTTCGTGAGTAGGAGCTGCTAATGTCTGTGGAGGGTGTTGCGAGTTCAAGAGCTTGCGACCTATCATGTCCTAGACATGTTCAAGTGTAGATAGGTCAGGCGATCGTGGTGGCCAAGGTAAACGGCTGATGCGATGTTGATCCATGAAGGCTAACGATGCTCTGGCAACATGCGGTCTGGCATTGTCTTGCTGCAATGCACGCAGCCACCACAAAAACTTAAGAACGTGACCATTTCATCACCTGTAACTCGATATGTAAAAAATTCTTAAATTCTAATAAACATACGTAGGTGTTTACCTTTTTTGTCACTCAGTATATTTGAAGCTCCCATTTTTACTTCGCTATAATAAATTTTGTTTCATGGTTAGGGCAAGGTAATCAATTAAAAAACGAATACGTACATACAAGATTTATTATATAATTGGCAGTATTCAACACCAGATTTACCAAATTATTTCAGTTACACATGTAACATACAATCTATTCCTAGTCTTATTCACAATCATAGTAATCTCAGATTAATCCAAGAATACACTTCTCTATTTCCATTCTAAAATGACATGAATTAAAAATAAAGTTGAAGAGAAAATAATCAGAAAATTTTCCTTCATTTTGGTGTTTTCAAAATTCAGTTTTGCAATTAAAGAGTTTTCCTCATAAGAAAATTGTACAATTGACCTTTGGTTGAAAGACTTTAGTTGTTTTGTGGCAAAGGAATATCCAGAAAAAAATAGAAAAAGAGAAAGCCGACGTGAGGTAAACAACAATCTGAAGAGGAAAAGATTCGCCATAAAATTTTACAAACAAAACTGTAAAATCCCTAAAATATGTAGTTCTAAAAAAATAGACTATAACATAAGTAATAATAACAAAATAATTACATCGTAAAAATTAATTTCATAACAAAAAAGATAAAAAACTGACGTGTAAGCACAAAATATCACCAAAGATTGTAACTTAAAAGGGGTTACGAAGTAAACTACCCTTTTTATTACTGAAACCAAAATTGACAACAGAATTACAGAGTTTTGCGTGTAAAAATATGAAATTCATACAGAGAAGTACAGATGATACATATGCAAAAAGTGACAAGCAATTATTACTAAGTACATATCACAATTTCACCATGCTTTCAATATGTGACATGTACTTACGAGGATAATCCCAAAAGTATATGGTCTCCTATTTTTTCAAAGTGCAAAAATCATTTATTTCTAATAACTGATACATTATTATAAAGCTTCGACGTTGGTAAATTTTTTACATAATCGCCATTTAAATCGATGTGACAGTTTTCAAATGCCCAGTTGAACCCCAAATTTCACCTTGTCAAATGTTTTTTATACATTGAAGGAGTCGTGCAGGCAGATGCCTAAATGCACCGCGGCTTCTATGAGGATCCAAAAACTTTGTTAATTCGATTTTTGAACTGCCTAAGGTAAGTAGAACTGGGAAAAGCCTCCTCTTGCAGACTGTTCCGCAATCTAGACACCCTAGGGACCAAGGAGCGATCGTATCGACCAGTTCTGGATGTACGAAGATCGACACGGTTAGGATGAGAGGCGGAAGTCAGGCGGGTCTATCTGGCAGTCTTGACATAGCGGTAGAAGAGAGCTAGATCACCGAAGGTCCGCCGCGAAAGGGTCCCGAGACTGTCTGTTCGAGAAGAGTCATCGATCAATTGGACAGCCCTCCTCTGAACAGCATCAATCTGGGCCTTGACAGAGTGAGGAGGTCATGTGGAAAAAAGTACTTCTAAACCCCAAACAAACGGCCTAACTTTTTCCCAGCAGCTGCCGCTATTGACGAGATGTGTTCGTGTCAGATCAAGTCCTCGGTGATCTCGACTCCGACCAGCCGAAATGAACGGCTCTTTGGCAAAGCTTGGCCATCCATCGAAACCGTATGAGCGCTAGGACGCTTTCTGTTCGTCAAGGTACAGTGCTGTGTTTTAGAAGCATTAAACTGTACAAGATTGTTTAATAACCTCCAGGTCTCTCGTTCTTCTTCTTCTTCTAGCTCATCGGCAGAGATCGGCTCATCGCTCAGAATTTCTGCATGTTATTTCAATTTGGAGAACAGGTCACTGGGTGCAAAGTTCGTATTATAGGGTGGGTGGGTGATTTCCCTTCAAAATAGTTGTAGAAAGGCGACTGTTTGGCAGGCGAGGTGTGTACAAAAATCTATCGACCTGAAAAAGCGATTATGTAGAAAGATAGACAAATGTTCGAGTTTTGTAATCATGTATCAATAATTAAAAATAAATTGTAGAGATCATACTATTGGGATTACTCTCGTATACTGTAGTGGCAGTACAAAATAGTCGCACTTAACGGTAGAAAAATGTATTATTTACTAAGTAACCTAACTATACTGCTACCAAAAACGCCCTAACGTTTCAACCTTATTATTTACAAAAGTTGTACTAAACATTTACATTACAATTGATTATCCATATTTACAATAAATGTTTCATAAATAATATACAATTCATTTACATCGATGAATAAATTAAATGCTTAATAATTTAGAAGCATGGATGAGATGAATCGTTTAAAGGCAGTGATAGTACGGACATCAATAATTTTAATTTATTACATATCCAAATTTCACCGGTAAGCTTAGCCGATTCTAGAGTTTCAAAAAAAATTATCAACGGATTTTACGACAGAATTATACTCATTTTAAAATGATGAGTTTGCAAAATCATTTTTTCGCTTGTATTCAAAAAAGTGCATAACATTAAATATTAATGCAAAAAAATTGTAGTGATGTCAACAAATATGTGTAAACTTGTGTGATATGTTGGGAAAACGTTCTATTTTTGAAACTCCTACCAAATGAAATTTAGGCTAGAGTTATGCTAACAATACCAATAAAGTATGCTTTGAACACAAAATTGCAGTCATAATATATTTACAACTAAGGCATTGAACGTATCTCAATAAAGGCTTCTGAATCAAAATCCAACTTTTTTCAGATGCTTAGCTTCTTTGTTAAAACTGAAAAAAAATAGCGCCAAGGAGGGTGACTCTGCATTTCCTACGCAACGCCGTCATCATTTTATAAAGGATCAAGTTCAGCGCATTATAAAGTTACGAACTTGCAGAACAGGGAAATTAAACGGATCAAGTCAGTCAAACAGGCCCATACAATATACAAAATATTCTAAGTTTTAAAGGCAAATCTATGTCGTGTAAAATAAGGCTAATGGATGCATAGAATTATAAAAAAAAATCATTTTTCTCTCCTCCAAAAACCCTACAAAAAATGTTCTGAAAATAATATAAAATAAGAAGTTTGAGCGATTTTTATTTTTTTTTTTTCATTTTTGGCTTTATTCTCCGTCGCCACTAGAGACGATTTTCTGCTAGACATAGCAACCTTGTATGAAAATTTCATTACAATCCGGGCGATACTTCTCAAGTTATAGACGGGCCAAGGATGAGAGGACAGACAGACAAACTGACGGAAATGAGTGTCATGGTTCTTACCAAAAAATATCTCATTTTTAACATTTTCTACGATTACAGTACTTCCTCGCACAGCGGTAGAGGATATAAAATCATCTCAGGGTAAAATTGTATTAGTCAGAGCCTCTAATGAAGTCCACGTTCCATGCCTAGTTACGATTTTGCCATCATTATGAAATCATCCTTATTACAAAGGGCACTTATTCAAAAATATTCTGATCTTAAAATGCTGGAAGCAAATGGAAAATCCCATAGAACACTGATAATGCAAACTTATTTGCAGTTTGGAAAAACGGAAGAAACACTTGGTTTCAGTGGGATTCGAACCCACAGCTCAGGTTTCTGCCATTTACGCCATGTTACTGTGATAATAATTTTAATGTACATCCAAACTGCAAATGTTCGACAATCTGTGCCGATCAGTGCCTCACTCCAATATACTAAAATATAGATACGATAAGATCATATAGACACATGCATATTGAGAAATAATTAAAAACAACTCATGTTCTTAAAAACGCCACGATCCTCGAAATTAATTGCCTTTACTGGGCAGATTTTTTCAGGTCATTTTATGAATTACTTGTAGAGGGAAGATTACCAGACTACTAAATCCGATGAAAAAATACGATAGAGAAAAATTAAACACGTGATGATAAGATTTTAGAGGAAATGTGTAGCAGTCAAACCACATATACACCAGCATATTTTACACTGAATGAAAAAAGTGCATCCAATATTATTTGAACGAATGTAGATATAACATCTACCACTATATTAAAATATTTTTAAGAGTGAATTTGGAATCTATCCGCTATACAACCTACAACTAAAATATATAAGACGCATTTTCAGGTCAAAATGACATAATGAAAATAAGGAATATAAAGATACGAGGGTTGTCTCAAAAATAAGGTTCCCAACGCTGTATATTTGCCGCGCGTAATGCTAGGCGGGATCTGGCAACACCGTCATGTTTGTCGGCTCCTCCACCACCAATCCGAACAAGAAGCGCCTATTTGCGATGCTCAGTACCGGAACGACAGCCATGCGCAATGGAGCCCTTCAGATGCGGTCATCCGATTTTGGCACGCAGAAACGTTATAGAAATTCATCGCCACTTGAGTGAAGCATCCCCCTTTACAGCACTGACATAGCGTTTCCGAAATTGAAGGAGCACCTAGGCGGCCAACGGTTCGAGACGGACGTGGAGCTGCCAGGAGAAGTTACCAAGTTTCAAAACGTGGATTTCACGTCTAACAAATGGCGACTATGTAGAAAAATAGCCTAAAGATAAACGCTTCCAATTATGAATTCGTGTTTTCAAATAAAAAATTCCTTGTGCCTGAAAAAATGTGGGAACCCTATTTTTGAAGCAACCCTCGTAGTTGATTAGGTTTGCACGATATCAAAATAATTGTCCCTCATAACTTTCTGTATAACGTAGATAAAAATTACCACAAATTCCTCATCTTAATGTATAAAATGGTCAAAATTACATAATGAAAATAAAAAATATAAAGATAGTTCATTAGGTTTCCGCGATATCAAAATGTTTATCCCTCATAATTTTCTGTATACCGCAGATAAAAATTACAACAAATATCTCATCTTAATGTACAAATTGAAGATAATTAATTAAACGTTTTCACGAATTCAAATTAATCGTCATATAAATTACTGAACCCCGCATAAAAAATTACAACAGAAAAAATTACAACAAAAGTAAATATGGGATGATAAAAATTGAATTCAATGATAATGTCTAAAGTAAACCGCCAACAAAAAGCGTTGTCGATATAAAATTGTATAAATATATCATCAAATAAAGTTTCATGTAAAAGAAAATACACAGCCTTGTACACACTCACCCAGTCATACATTTTGAGTGCTACATCGACTTCCTATTTATCGAAAATCACAAAATACTAATGAGACTGAAGAATATTTTGTCTGTATATTCTACAGAAGCACTGTATTACTAAATCAGTAAGTTGACGTGTTTTGGCACTGATACGAACGATCTAATAGCGACACTCAACCCTCCAGATTTTTACCTGCTAGAATAGTTTGTGCTTAATAATTAGCAATTATTTATTTAGGGTGCTAGTTAAAAAGCTCCAAAAACTGCTTCTGTAGATGAAAAAAAATAGACACAGTTTGAAGCATAGGAAATTCATTCCCGAGTGCCTCGCAAACACTCCATTCTGTGCTATGCACCATATTTTTCCCCGCAAAAACTCTCAAGGGTTAAATATCACGAGCTCTTGGGGTATCTGGCTGTAAAATAACATTATTCAAAATGTCACTCACTGTAATAAAATAAAAGCAAAGGGTAATTCAAAAACAGCGGCAATATTTGTAGAGCAGAAAGTACAAATAACATAAAACGTTCTTATAAATATAGGTCCTAAAATGTCTTGGTGATCAACATATAGGGCGTTGAAAATATTTTCCAAATAACTGAAATAAGGTAATGTACTACAACAGGGTGTCCAGTAAGCACCACGACAAACTTAAGGAGAAGGTAGGCTTTGGATTTACCTCCCAAATAACAAAAACTTACCTATATAAAAGTGTCACGTTTTCGAGATATTGAATTTTTTCTTAAACTTTAAAAAAATGAACCTTTTCATCTGTGGTCTTTAGCTGCATGTACAAATAAGGTTATACTTTGTTCATTGAATACAGATTTCAGAAAGGCACCACACGTACTATTTGGAATAGAAAAAAGTGATAGCGGCTTTTGTAAGTGACTGACACACACTACAATGTAATTTTTGGATTTAAATTCAAGTTGCAATAATAATGTGGCTTTGTACTATTTAGCATGTCACTGAACGGTAACCAGTGCAACTGGAATTTAAATCCAATAATTACATTGTAGTGTGTGTTAGTCACTTACAAAAGCAGCTATCACTTTTTTCTATTCCAAATAGTACGTGTGGTGCCCTTCTGAAATCTGTATTCAATGAGCAAGCTTTTTATTCAATATAATGCAGTTACAGACCAGTACATTTTTGTTTCACCACAGATGGTCAAAGTTGAGGAAACAATATCTGGTTATAAATCCCAAAACAGTCCTTATTTTATCATGGTTCCTTAATATCTTTTAACTACATTGCATTTGTATATGATAAAGCAACTATCTAGAAGTATTTTATAGAAAAAATGAACAAAGTAAAACCTTATTTGTACATGCAGCTAAAGACCACAGATTAAAAGGTTCGTTTTTTTTTTAAATATAATAAAAAATTAATATCTCAAAAACGGTGACACTTTTATATAGGTAAGTTTGAGAGGTCAGTCCAAAGCCTACCTTCTCCTTAAGGTGCTCGAACCGATTATATCTCAAATTCAGATCAATTTTTCTTGAAAAGGGCGTAACAAAAAAAGTTCGTATAATTAAATACATTTGCTGCAAACGAAATGGATGTTTCAGAACAGTCAGAGTTATAGAGAATATGTTTCCTTCTATAATAATAATGTTCATTGGAATTGACATGCTTTCATATACATTTTATCAAATCTGAAGTACAAAAACTAAATAAAATATCCCAACTTCTTCTCCACTAGTGTAGTTCGAGCTAGAGGACTCAATGTTACAGGAATTTTCCGTATCATTTCCGAACCTATCTTCTGCTCTAGAAATATCGCCATTGCATTTGATTCAGCCACAACATGACATATGAATTTGCTCTGCGAAATCTCAACTCCGACTACCTTCCGTGAAACAGATAATCAATGAAAACTTCAATATGATCAATTAAAATCATGGGGCCTGCCCCATTCGTCTCTGATAAGAACCTCATTATGATGATCTTTATTCCAATCCCAGTCTTTGCCCTTAGGCCTAAACTTATCTTTTATTGGTCCAGGTCTTTCCTGGCTCCAGTTATCATCTTTCCAATGCTCTCTATAGTAGAACTTCTTTTTGAAATGTTCAGGCTTTTTCTTATCCTCGGGATAACGCTGATACTTCAACAATGCTGGGTTTAGTCTCGTGGGACTTTTTTCGGCTGGCACTTCGGGGCTAAAGTTTATAGAAAGACTGTTATTTGAAGGAAGAGGACTCGAAGGGGAAGGGGTTCTAGGGGGCCCAGTTTCCTCCATCCCAGTATCAGATATCGGTGGTGACTCCAGGTATGGTTTTGTAGTAGGCATTTTGAATAATATTGGTTTTGGGTTAGGGTTCAACTTCAAAGCCTGTTTAGATGGAACCATGGTTGCTGGAGCCATATCTCCGTGCCCATGTCCGATCCCAGAGTCTGGAGACGTGTTGCAAGAATCGTTGCCTTCCGTAGATCGACGCCTCTTATCAAGTTCTGTAGATGCGAAGGCTACCAGCCTGTCGAAACCTGATGATATTCTGTCTTGCCATTTTGATTCTTCAGCATCCTCTTCTGCGTCCACATCTAAATGAAAATAGAAATCAATAAGTGTTTTACAGATCTGAGGTAGTAAACAGCAAACATGTAAACATGAATATGGTCGATAATATCGGATTATATGCGACATTTGTATTCAGTACAGTCCGAGAATTTATCATAGCAAGATATTCAAAACTTTTACAAAAACAACTATCTTTTGACGAAACACATTGCAGGTTACATAATCATTTAGTTGTGATTTATGAATAAAGTGGAAACTGAGTTTACACGACAAAAAACCACCACAGCGAGGACAAAATGTAAGAAAATCAGTGAATATTGTTGCTGTAAGAGCAAATAAAGCTAAACACACACATATCTACGTATCTACAGAGCTATTACATACAGCGAAGTAGAATAAAAAAGTCAGTTTTGACACATTGGAGTGACAGAAACTTGTAAAATAACTTTCTCTAAGAACGAGGCAGCACCGTTCCATCTGAGGCCTCCTTATTGCTTTTCGTTTGTCATTAACATCAATGACCGCCTACCCATTTTGATTCTTACGATGTCTGTAAATTAAGCAATGAGACAGATTTTTAATTTTTTTATTCGAATTTTTAGAACACAATAGAAAAAACTGTATCACAAAAAGATTTGCTACGGACAAACAAATGACTCGATCAAGTTAAAACTTGTACTGAAGGCGGATCACCTGTTCCCCAGTCTCCCCTCGAAGCCCGGCGCCTACAGTATTGCCAGGCCGACCGCTACGGTACCAGTCTCATCACTTAATTTACAGACCTCTTACGTCTGCAGAAACATATTATGCATCAAATAACATTCATAAGGTATCCTCGGAATAAAGAGGCCTCAAAGAACAACTATGAATTCGGTCCTAAATGTTATGAACAGCACATTTTACACCTGACAGATTTTAGAGTCGTTCATTTTACTCCACTGTGATGAATTTGAGCAATGGCTTGAATCAAAACTGCATATGTCAAAACTACAGCAAATAAAAACCAGCAAATAACTAGGATTGAAACCACCACCAATAATATAAAAATATGATAAAAAACTGAAATATAGAACAATTTGAGCAAAAATGAGAGATAAAATAGCGCATAAAAGCTACTTACCACCACTCTAACTATTCAGCCTCTATCTCTAAATCTAGTTTGGTAGGGGGGTATTACGCATGCGCTATATTTTGCGCGTGAGTTTTGTGCGCATGCCTGAATGTGCTCCCTCCTATAGTCAACGCAAACAAACTACGTAAATATTCGAGTGGATATGGCGCAAACCTCACACGGAAACATTTCAGCTACATTTTCCGCATTTAAATACGAACAAAAATGCATGGGTCAGTTGAATCAAAGAGCCCACAATACAACTAATACTGAATAGACCAATCAAAAGTGTTTTTTTTTTGCAAATGTCGATGTTTGCCTTGGTTCTGTTAAGTTGTAACTCGTATTTTTGAGAGAGTCGCGTTAAATATGATTATTCAACTGAATACTCATTTTTATAGTAATCATACGCATGGTTGGTCAGAGCTACAACTCTAGCAGACTTTTTTAGTAAATATGTCGATTTCATTAATCAACCATGCCAAAACGTTACTGACATAAAAATGCTGTAACTCTAAACATGTAGACTTCACTATAGATATATCTATTTTTTTTTCATCAATTTCAGAGTTTTGTTTTTTCGTGAGGACCCCATATTTCTAGAAACTTTTCGTAACATTTAAGTAATTTTTATGAACATGACATTTTTACTCATATCCCTTCAGCACATGGCGACTAAACCACTTCGAGTTGAATCAGTTAAGAATTCCTATGGATCCAAAAAGTAACAAATCCATAACACAAAATTTTATGAATTTGTACGATCTGGAATGTAAAGGCATCTTCACTCATCGAAAGCTTAGGACATATGCTGACATATTTGCGAAAAATCCATCTAAAATACTATCCAGTGAGGTTTGTGCGATTTTGTATAAAAAATATTATTAATAAATGCCAATTCATTCGTAAATCCATTAAATTTTCTGTACAAACTTAGATACAAATCAAACGTTCTTAAAGCTGCTTCAAAACCCAAAAAGCTGATAAATTTAATTTCAAGCAGTTTGCAAATTCTTGATAAATTTTGCAATGAGTGGATATTGGCAGTAGGTAAGTAGGCGATGTTATCATATTTCAGGCTGACATTGAACAACAAGAAGCAATTTCATATATACAAAAAACAAACTGTTTGTAAGACGTATTTCGAAAAATTGCATATTCAAAATTCGCATTTAAAATATATTGACTTCCAAAGCAATATCTCCTAATTATTTGCAGTGCATTTTTTCATCCCTACACTACGCCCCTATGTTGCAATTATAATATAAAAGGCAATACTACAAGAATATTATCACAAAACGCTGTTCACACTTCACTAATATACAACACATCAGATATCTGTTAAGCAGAGTCCTGAGCAAAATACAGTAAATAGCAATGTTATCCTAGAATAGTGCTATTAGTAAGAAAAAAGAGTAGTCATCACGTGTTCTAAAGGACGATATACATGGAAATTGATCAATTCGTTATCAATGTTAAAGATGAATACCTGAGATAATGCTTACGTTTGGAGCCGATATACCAACAGAAACTACGGCCACGCTGTTCGAGCTATAAAAACTTGACGCCTCGAGTACTAGTGGTGCTCTGACAGGGTGGTCATGTTGGGTTATTTCCCCCCAAACTTGGGGAATTTTTACTTTAGGCATTGTTTGGGAATATAGTACTCCTGGATCGCGGATAGAAAGTATACTCCCCGCTCTTGAATCAATCCTACCCATTTCCATTAATTTTTTTAAATAAGGAATTCAGATGGATACGTGTATTAACATGTGTATTTGCTAATTTAGAGTAACAAGCACTTTGTGCATAAATCAGCGAGCGACAGAGCGTTTTGCGCGCCCGAGACTGAGCGAAAAAATATTTTGCGCATCGGACAGCGAGCGACAAAATAATTTTCGCGCTGTAAAAAACTATTTTCGTCAATTTCCATGGATATCATCCATGCCTTCCAAACTACATCCACCTCCATGCACTATCCAGTAACAAACGTACCTTCTTCGTTGCATTTCCTGGGCCTCTGAGGTTGTTGCTCCTGAGCCTCCTCAGCTGAAGGAATGGGCGTATTGGAATGAGGCTCAGGAGGAGGGTCGTGCATATAAGGCTTCTTCCGCATTGGTACCTGGATCACAGGAGATTCGCGCTTGTAAAAATTCGACTCAGTCGATTCTACTTTCACGTTGTTCTGCTCTTGATAGGGCGCTGGCATGCTTGAAACCATGTTTTGTTGGGGGTAAGAGGGCCTTCTATCATAAATTTCGATTTCTTCTTTGATCGGAGGTGCCAACACGCGGGCTTGCAGACTGGCGGCCAAGCCTGAAAAAATTTTGACGATTACAATGACAATTCGCTAAGAGACCCACACACAACATGCCTAGCAGCAAAAATCAAAAAATATTGGGAAAAATCATTAAGACAGAAAGAAGAAGATTAATCAACTATTGAGCCCGATATTCCGAAAATCGAAGATCTCCTTGTTGGGCCTTGAACATATAAAACTTCATGTGCACAAATAAATGTGTTAGCAAGTAAAAAACATAGAAGCATTCCTTTAGTACCCACAATATTGACTTTTCAATAGACCCATTTCTCTTGTCTCCTGATTATTGCTGAAAACCATGAGTCACCATTGTATACGGTTGGATATGTTCGCAGAGAGGAAAAGCTCTATCTTTAGATGTTGAAAAAAATATGATATATACCTTCGGCAACAAAATTCCCCCTCTGCTCAGCATCCACAGTAGCCGCGTTTGGTTTGATATCATTGAAGTATGATTCCTGGTAAGGTTTGATGTCAGCTCTAGGCAAAGGGGTGTACATCTCGTTAGGAAAACTGCTGGAGCTAGTTCGGGACGGTACAGCTGGATACAGCACTGTCGTCCTTGGAGAATATTGCTGCCTCGGACTCGGCTGAGGAGGCATTACATACTCGTGTGAGGCATGAGGATTCACCTGGAAAGAAGATATGAGATAGAAACTGTGATAGAGAATAATCCATACAAATACATTCACGCAAAAAGACTGTATAAATTTTACTTCTCGTTCCACCTCAATCAATGAGAGCCAGTTGGTTAAGCTCAACGGCAAGTCGTTAGTTTAAGTACCAAAACACAATTTTTGGAAATTAATCTTGATGCAGCTCTTAAGGAGGCAAGTGTGTCCAAAGACAGTTATAATTTCATATTATCATGCACAGTTTGCGTCTAGAGTAAAATATCTATTTTTTGGGGTACATCAAATCATATATTCAAGGGTCTTTATATTGCAGAAACGGGCATTTAGACCAAGAGCTGGAGTATAATACGATATTTGTCCAGAAACTACGTATAGAAAATTCGGGGCGTCGTGTCAAGGCGTTGTGGAGGGGTGGACCGGTGGTTCCCTCTCGCTATGCAACCCGTCTATGCTCAGTTCTCAGTTAGAGCCGGAGCGTTCTGGGAGTAAGATTTACGTGTGTTTGTTGCAAGTAACCTTTTTTTACCTGTCGTCGGCATGGACCCCTCTCTGATCAGGGAACAGCGCATCAACATCAAGTTTCTTGCAAAGCTAGGCAAGAATGGTCGTGAGATTTTTAAGTGCTTCGAAAAAGTTTACGCAGACAATTCTCTGAAGGAACCAACCGTCAACAAGTGGTTGAAAAGATTTCGGAAAGGTCGAGAAGATGTGAAAGATGACCAGTGCTCAGGACGCCCCTCCACATCTAGCTCTGAGGGAAATGTTGAACGAATTGAGGGGCTGTGTTCTTAAAGACCGTCGATTGACAGTTAGAATGACAGCTGAGGAACTGACAATCCCTAAAACAATCGTCCACGAAATTCTGACAGGTAAATTGAAATGAAAAAATTGTGCGCGAAAATCGTTCCGAAGCTCGTTGTGCGTCAGTTTTTGGCCCGAAGCTCAATCACCGTGACAGAGCACCCGAATTAGCCCCTCGCGACTGCTTCCTGTTCCCAAAATGCAAAGTGCTGCTTCAGGGGCGGCACTTGGGGGATGTGGAAGCCATCAAGGCCGAAACGACACGGCAAATGAAGGAACTCACAATTGAAGACTTTCAGCGATCGTATCAAAAGTGAAAACGGCGTTGGCAGACGTGCGTCTTGTCTCAGAGGGAGTACTTTGAAGGAGACCATATTGAAATTTATTGTAGAATGGGATTTTACAGAATCTCTTCTATATCTTATGATTACACTAAAATTGTTCACGACGGTTTGCGTGTCCGTCGTTTCCTCTGAAAGGAGTTTCAGTAACCTAAATTAATAAAAAATGTTGATGAGGTTATTTCTGAATTTGCAGCTGTCAGAGCTAGAAAGAAGAGATTTTAATAGTAAGATAAAAATATTCTTTCTGTCTTAGTTTTTAGTGTTTTCTTATTTGTTCAATATTTTAAATATAAATATTAAATGATCCATGACGTATAAAAATCATATTTAATTTATTGCTTTCGAGTTTCGATGGGGTGACACCACCAACTTCCGCAACGGGTGCCACCCAAGGTAGCTACGCCACTGGTTACTCCCCTACTGCGACATTATTTTTCTGTAAAATTAAATGTATACTATCATTTGAGTGTGAACAGACATTTCCTATGCCATGTATTTGGTCGTTTGGAATAAATTGATTATTATTAAATAACAATGCTTTGGAATAGAGATGTCACGAATAGTCGGTTACTTATTCGGTATTCGAACTCTTCTATTTAAATTATTCGGCCAAATAACGAATACCCAAACAAGAAAAAAAACGTAACTCTTATTGCTCAATAATTTTTACCAACAACCATTACAATTAATAGCTAGCGGAGGAAAAATGTGAAATTAACCTAATTTGCTTGAAGAAAGCCAACCGTGTATATTATTTTGGCGTCCAAAAAAATATGCGAGATGAAATGAGATATCGCATCCTCAATAAGGATTTGTCAGCAGCTAAGTGCTACGTTTCTCCTCTATGCAATAATTAGAAATCTACTTCGATAAAGTGTAGCATATAGTAATTTTATAGTAATAATATTTATCATTCAATGTACAAAGAAAACAACATAAGTAAATAAATGTAAAACAAAAACAGTCCCAATAGGAGGCATTGCCTCATAACTGTGCTGTCAAATATTGAAATGGCCTTGCAGGCAATGGTCAAGGTCAAGGCCCAGGTAATGATTTGTTGTTCTTGTATATCAAACGTTAATCTATGAATATAGCACAACCCTTATTACGTATTTCTTTTGCGCCTTTTGTGTTTGTCTTTACATAAAGAGTTATCAGTGAATATGGAAAAATCGATATTCGATGACATAACGTAAGAACTACTAAGGTTTTATGGGGTCATACATAGTTTTTAGGGGAAATTAAAAAAAAAGTGATATATATATATATATAATGCGCAAAAACCTTTATTGTTAGAAAATGATCTACCTTGACATGCTGATGCATATAAGCAAGTCCTTCCAGTCCTTCTGCAGAAGAGGGTCTAGAGATAGGGCTATAGACCTTCTGCTGGAGATCAGATTCCTTCGGAGGGGGTTCAACCACAGGTACTTTGACCCTTTCTGGACGCGGAGGGATGTTGGCGCTCACAATGGACCTCGACGATATTGTGGCAGTACCTTGAATATCACTCATGTCAACTGCAGCATTGATAATGGATTGGTTCGAGATCTCCAAGGTCCGCTCTATTTCGCCAGACATGAGGTCACCTATAAAGATGACATTTGAAAATTAGTTAAAAACTGGACAGCCACGTTTAAAATGCAGAGTGCGCTATATTCATTGTTCACGGTAACCAATAAGAATTGTGGAATCGAAATGCGAGAGTATCGATAAAATTACCATGCAATCGATTCTGTTTGACAAGGATATTTATTCATGTATAATCTTCTCTAAATGACGTCTTTGCCATGGTATCGAAGTATTCACGTTTATACCAATCAATGAAAAAGTATAAAGTACCTACAAGTTTCGATACCATAGCGCTTATGTTGAAAACAATACAGAATGTACATACATAGCGACTCAGAAAAATGAAGCAATGTTTCTGGGGTAGAAAAGAAATCCACAAATTACAAAAAAGTTGCCATAAACTTATATCCTACAAGATAGAGTGTGTTGTAAATTTTTTGGCCACTGATGGAACTCTACAAGGATAAAACATAAATGAAGGGTCCGGGGAAAAAGATTCACAAAAGGTAAGTTTTGAGAAAAGTGAATTTAAAAGTTTGAACACTCCTAGATTGTACTGACGGAGTACCATAGATTCCTTATTATAAGAAATTGGAAAAAAGTTAAATTATGAATAAAAATATATTCTATGAAATACAGGGTAGCCCAAAGTGAAACCAGACCAAACATTTTTTAATTGTTAGTGAGACGAGGCGGGCAGGGGGCAACCTGGCTACAAATACGAAATTACGAAATGTTTGAATTTGTTTAGAAGAAAAAAACGTAACCCTTCTTTTTAGCATAAAAATAACAATTATCTTTCGGACTAGCTTGTGATTCATGTCGGCAAGGTAAACTCGTGTATTTTGCTATAAAATGCCCTTTGAACTAACCCTGTATATTGCTCAATAAACTAGTAGTGATGGCCGGAAGACAGGTGTTTTGGGATAAACAATTAGAAACTCTCAAAAACTACTTGACCAGTCGACTCCAATTTTGTTGTGGTTATTTAGAAGTAAGAAGCCTTCGGATTTGAAAATTTCAAGCATTAGCAACAAGTGCCGAGACCTCCATTTTGCCGTTACTATTAGTGGGATCTTTTTACGTGTTGTCTCATTCTGTAGGACTCATACCTAAAAATCTTATTTGAAGAGTTTTCTCGTTCCTGCCAACACTTTCGATTGAATCCCAAAAAAACACGTTTTCTCGTTCTTTTTTGTCGAATAAAAAGTTTTCCCACAAAAATTGGTGTACCCATTTTATGCGTCCATGTTTTAAATACCCCGTTGAACAAATTGCATCAATAAAACCAGACTTTACAATTATCAATTATTTCGGGGAAATTTGCTAATATGATTAGACTATGAGTCAGAATGCTTTTCTAATTTGTCGCTTTTACGATCTTATAGTGTCAGTGCTTGAGAGCGGTGTATCGAAAATTTTTGGTATTTGACGAAAGTACAAAATGTGTAATAGTATCGATAGTTCATGATAACCAGCATGTTCCAACAGTTCCCATCTCTGTAGAGTCACATGCCGCAGTGACGTTTTAACGTCAAAACAACGACTCGGTAAAGAACTGTGAGGTACACTAGACTAGAACATATTTGCACTCCTATGCAATATTTTGCGTGTTCCATATACAGAGTGTTAACAAAAGTATTGGACGGGATCTCTATGTTTTTATTATTTTTGGAAAAGGTCAAAGTCAGGTCTATAGGGTGGAGGTACCAGTAACCCGGACACTACCAGTAGTCGGACAAATGTTATATTATTGGTAAAAACTTGAATATTTGAAATCCTATACTTGCTGGTAATTGTAACCAGATTTATCAACTAATTTGTGACAGTTTACAAAAATTTCACATCCACAGCTATCATATTGAAAACAGTATTAGACCATCAAAAACAGCATGCATTCATTTTCTCAATTTTTTTCATTTGCGTAGTGAGTGACATAAACTTTAAAGGCGAGTAGAATCGTCAGCTGACAATATATAAATACTGTTCTTGTTACATATATGCAAGAGATATTTCAAAATGTACTTGTTATTTTAACATTTTGAGGTTCAATTGGAGTGGCCGCTGACTGAATTATCATATTGGTCAAAGCCCAATAGTCGGACAAGTGTCCATACAAGTGCCCGACTATTGGAATGGCGTGGTCGGCAATCTATCTTTTTCTCTTTAAACTTAGAAACCATTAAAGTTTTCTCTTGGAATTAAATATATCAAAATACGAATGAAGCCCCAGCCAGTGGACGGGCAGGGAAAGATAACAAACAATGGGGATTATGGGCAGTGATATTGTGTCCGACTGCTGGAATAAACGAATTTTCATAGCATTCCAATAACCGGCCACTTCCATTTTCTCGTCATACTTTCACGAGAGTGTGAAATAAAATTTCACATTTCCACTTCATTTGGGAATCGATACCAAGGAAAGTGCTGTATACAGTAAAGGCAGGCTAAAGGAGGCAGTCGAAGCTGTAAGAAATGTTGAGAAATTGCTTGAAATATGTAAACAGTATGGTAGTTCAAAGTCGACAATGCAGGACCAGATTAAAGGAAAAAAATTAGTTTCGTATTCATTTTTACCTAGTTTGTATGCATTTGACTCAGTTCGAGTGTGTTTAATTTCTTTTTCTCAAGGTCTTAATGACAGCTGATTTGACATTTCTATTCTACTACCACAAATTTTTAAATACGGTCCTGTCTAAAACTGGCTAATCAAATGATGGCCGATAATTGAAAACTAGCTGGCCGACTAGTAGCGCCTTATGTCCGAGTACTGGCAAAATAGCACCTTTTTGATTAATATTTGTTTATAAAATCACAGGAATATCTATGAGCAATGTATTTGTTGTTGGCGAAAAGCTTTAGTTGTGTTATCTTCGTAAAATTCGTAATTATACTTTGTATTCCACCTTTGTCTAAACTGTCCGACCACTGGCACTTTCACCCTACTAACTTAATGAGTTCGATGGTGACCTTGGGTTTGATCTGCAGCTTTACCTTCAAGGTTATTTGAAGTTCAACTTGTTTTTTTGAATAAACAGCCCCTTGTTACGGGAAATTATACGTCAGAATATGTATTAAAATCTGAGATCAAGGTCGCCTATAAAGGTGAAACGTAAGAGGCTAGACAAAATTCCTAGAAGTTTAGAATGGAAGAAATTATCATGGAAAGGTGCCCAGCAACTGACAACAGGGACTTCAATTGTAACCTTGAATTCAACCTTGAACCTCACCTCCAAAGTCATCCCCAGGTCAACTTTTTTCAGGAACCCCCTCTTTCAAACAGGCAATTGAAAATATTACGTTCTGATGGTCCAATCCAAGGTCGATATTGAAATCCTTGTTAAAAGAACTGACCCGTTGCCTTCTTTATCAATAATACTGGTATGTAGTCATATGAGAAATAGTGAAAAAGGATATGAAAAAGGATATCCATTTGCTAAATTTTTTCCCCAAAAAATTGCAGACGAAATCTCACTACTTTCAATAAATCTATTTTTTTATTTCTCAATCCTTGGGTGACTTTATATCAATAAGCATAAAAGCAAATAGCGAGATACACTCATGAAAATATGTATATATATATATATACATATATTTCAAGCTAACTGGAATTCAATTTTAAATTTGGAACATTCATTTCCATATTTTTGACAATTTATTTAAATTCCCGAATGTTGATAAACAATATAAACTACTCTTTATAAAGCGAAAATGAAAACGTATTTGTCCAAAAGAACTTTCGACTATCCAAAATTAACATAGAAGGCATTTTCACTTTATAATAGCTTACGTGTACATGAGTTATTATCCATAGTGTCACTAATGTTGCTAGTAGAGAAGTTGCCAAACGTATCTGATAAATAGAAAAGTATGATTATTCAATATATCCAATCGTATATTTGAATGTCTTTGTTTCGAAATATTAAATCCTGAAACGGAGAATATACAACCGCATTTTTAGGGCAGCATTTTTTATCTTAAAACTTGCTGGTTACCTGTCAAAATACGAAAATCAAAAAATGAAGAAATTTCCAAAATTACAAAATTTATTTGACAGCAATATATTGAGTAGGACGGTAGATTCCCAAAGAAGTCATATTCAGTCGAATTGTGTTCCAAAATACGTATGATCGTATCGTTATCTGAAATATGGGAAAAAGCGAAGAAAAAATAATGCAGCAATGTCATGACGGCACAAACGAAACGTTACCTCCACCTAAATAAAAAAATATATATACTAAAATAATAAAGTATACACATTCGAGAATAGTAGTCATTGCTGTTACCGAAGTCTATCCACTATTTATTTGAAATCCCTTAAGTTATAACAGCATAATGGAAAGAATCAATAAAAAGAATAAAAAAAGAGAATTCCTTCCAGATTAAAGCTATCCATGCCTTTCGGAATAAGAAGTTGGGATGAAAAAAGGCAGAGATCAGAAAAAGAAGTGTAATTTTTGACGCTTAGTAATTACAGATTATGAATGTTTTAAATATATTCGGTTTTCTTGCTTAATAATAAAATTTTATTTGATGAGACAATTTTTGCTAGGGGCCCGGTGTTGGCACCTAATTTTCAAATCAGTAGCATATAAGGTTTTTGGAAATTATTTTTTTGATAAGGATTCACACATCCAGTACAAAGTAAAGGCCACAAGCTTTTAAAACGTACGTTTAGGTACTTTTTATAATTTTTGAAATCAATACCACTATGCGAGTCTGATTTTGGGCACTTTCCTCTATATCTACTCCTGAGTCTGTATACTTTGATTTCAGAAAAATCAGCTTATAAGAAAGGCTAATAAGCAAAAATGTATGTATGTTAACAACCACCAAAGACGCTTACCAATTGTTCTAGTAGCTACAATTCCATCAGGAGTATTGTAAGGCATATGCTGGTGAGCTAACTTCTCCTGAGACAGATGTCTACGCAAAGCTAGTTTGGCTGGCGACACTTGAGTATAGTCAGGCTGTTCGCTTGATCTGGAAGGAGGAACTAGAGTTTTCGGTTCTTCCTTGTAGCACTCCATCATACTGGCGAGCCCTGTATCACAAAAATTTTGTCAAAAATCGTACACTTAACCTGAATCCTATAGATGAAATAGTGTTTTGCCATTGTCATCTTTCAAAATATTTTTTATTGTAAAATGAAATGCTATGGTCCCAGAAAACACTTTCAAGAAGTTTATGTTTTGTACGTATCGAAAAACATGGAGATTTATAGGTATAACATATATGTATAAATGCGTGAGGATTGAGTTAATCTACTTGACATCGTTTCTTTGGAGGCTAAATATCCCATTTATCTGATTTCTGCAATTATTTTGGGTTCCTCTGAAGTAGGGTGAATGTGCCAGTAATCCTGACACACTACTAGTAGTCGGACAAATGTTATATTATTGGTAAAAACTTGAATATTTAAAATTCTATACTTGCTGGTGATTGTTACCAGATTTATCAACTAATTTGTGACAGTTCGCCAAACATGTCACATCCACAGTTGTCATATTCACAAAAACAATCGATTTCTCAATTTTTGTCATTTGTGTAGTGAGTGACATAAACTTTAAAGGCAAGCAGAATCATCAGCTGACAATATATAAATACTGTTCTTGTTATATATGCAAAAGGCATTCAAATTTTACGAAATAAATTAATCTTAATATTTTAACATTCAGAGGCAAATTTGAGTTGCCGCTGACTGGATTATTACACTAGTCAAAATCCAATAGTGGTCAAATGGCGTGGTCGTTATCAATCTATATTTTTCTCTTCAAACATAGAAACTATCAATCTTTTCTCTTGGAATAAAACAAACCAGAATAAAACTATCTATAAATTCTATAAGCAATGTATTTGTTGTCGGCGAAAAGTTAACAACATACATGATCACCTCCAAAAGCATTATGGTGTTATCTTGAACACAAAATTTGTAATTACACTTTTTATTCCACTTCTGTCTAAACTGTGCGACCACTGCCTCACTCACCTTATTAAGTTAAATATTTTTTCTATCCCACACAGTTAAGCATCTAATTCCGTATTCTAAATTTTAACCATCTGATAGAAGAAATACCGATTTATCTCTCAAATACCCATCCAGTAAACAAAAAAAGTCGCCCAATCGTCTAAAGGCGCGTACACATCTGGCGAACGCATGTGGCCGAAGCTCTTCGATCGAATTCATTCGATGATTTCGACGTTCGATGGAAAATTTGCTCTGCCGTCCACATTACGGTGAACGAATTTGTTTGCAGTCATTCGTCGAGGTTCGCGGGTATTTTTGTAAATGGTAAAAAATGGCGTCCGATGATGAGGATATAATTATTGCAAGTGCGTTGTATATTATTATTAGTGAGGCGGAGACCGAAGCATTGAAAGAGCCCCCCAAGAAACGACGAAAACGGCGCTGGTGGACATCATTGTTCAAAAGCAGAAGTCGGTATAGAGGGATGGACTTAATTAGTGATCTAAAAGCTGAAATGGAATACGGACTTTTTGTAAATTTTTGTAGAATGAAGTCTACTGATTTTGAATGGTTATTAAATGAAATCGGTCCAAAAATCGCGAAACAAGATACAAAGTTTAGTGTCTTTTGGTATAAACTTGTCCATCAAGAAAAGCATTTCTTTGAAAGCGAACCAGCTAGATTTAAAAATTGTGTCGGTTCCTGAGCCAGTTTTAAACGAGCTATCTTGTTTTTGTCTCTCACGTCGGAATGATGTTAATAAAGATTCCATTTTCTTTTTGACCTCCCGTGTATCGCCTTTCATAATTTTGCTGATGTCGTTCCAGGCATCCATTTTCTTTATTTTATTTTTGTAATCTTTATGCACTGGATTCCATAAAACTTCCCGTTCTCGATATAAACCAATAAGTTTTAAACAAGAGGAATTAGTCCACTCCATTATCGCTAAATAGAAACTCAAAACAAAATGACCACGATGAGACACTTAAAAACTGAAAAGCGTACACACTAAACACAGCCAAACGAATTCGTTCTTCAATTTTCTTTTGATGTACCGCCCAGTGACCGAACTCTGGCGAAGGCAAACACATGCGTTTGTTAGGTCGTACACATTTACCAACGGCGTTCGGTCGAAAGGCTTCGGCCACATGCGTTCGCCAGATGTGTACGCGACTTTAGATACACAAAAAGACTCCGATACCATTGGCCGACGCCTGACCAGTAATCGTTCTCGATTTGACTAAATATTCCGGTTCTGATATTTTGTTTTTTGCGGAGAATAAATCCAATTGGTTCATACTGGGTATTCATATTGTATTGGTGAAACCATGTACCAATGAAAGTTAAATAGGCTTGATAATACTAGTTGTTCGCTAATGAAATTAAATGGAAAGTGATTTTATGCGGAATTATAAAAGATATTCGGAGATTGTTTTCGCAACAAGATTCATATCTTATAGATGCGTACTCAGAAATACTCTGGCTCCAGAGAACACAAAGTTCAGATTTTGTACTTATTGAAAATAGATCTGTAGATATGAATGCGAGGAAAAAACTGAGTCAATCTACTTGACAAATATGAATCAGACAAACTGTAATTTAGGTCCGAATGTGCTGTATCTGTAGCTAATTACATTAACTGGATGATTTCATTTTTTGCTTCCCACGCCGCTGGCAAGGAAGTATTGTAATCAATCGCGAACATTTTTGAACATGAGATACGCTTTATGAATAACATGAAGATTTTCAAAAAGAGAGAATATGTGAGAATATAGTGCGTCAATACATAAAAAAGTGAGTTAATTGTTTGAGAAATAATAATGCCAAATTTAAACGGAAAAATAAATAGAAATGGTGAAGAAAAAGGAGAATAACATAAGGTCTTTATTACTGTTTTATTGACGTAATCAAATTGAATTATTTATATGTATGCATATTTCAAGTACAAATGTATACGATGCATAAAAGAAAGATAAAAATAAATATAACAAATTTTGTAAATACGGGAGTAATATGTATAACGTATTCTTGCCCAATTGATTGAACCTACATTTTAGCGAACTATCCAATGTTAAAAAATTGAAATCTCATGTAATAAATATTGGCTCAGCTTGGAGATAACCCTCCATGAACAACTCTGTCATAGTTGATTATTATAAAAAAAAATTTTAATAATATAATTATTCGTTAAATATTTTTTTCTACTAGCTTTCTGCATATTAAACTAACAAAACCTGTTTTACTTTTATTTGTGCACAGATTCACGTTCACTACACTTACTGATTTAGGAGGAAAACAAAGTTTTATGTTACTTTAGCTGTAATAAAGTTTTTTCGTTACTGTGACATAGTTGTTTGTTTTTTTTTTCTGATATGCAAAATCTATATGAAAAAAAAAACAAATTTGATGTGGTTTTTGGTCAAATATCAAACACTCAATCGGTACAGAATATTATCTCAAATCCACGAAGGTGCTTTTTTTTTGTTTTGGCATAACAAGAGTCATATTTTTCTGTGGCGTTTTGCTCAAAATTTAATTAACTGCACATAGAACAGTGTAACTCTAAGGTAACGACAAGTAGAATGATTTTCGATAATCGCCCATATCTCAGACGACTGAAAAAAGCATGCAATGTTTTCCGGTTGTGACAAGTCTGTGGTAGTACTTACCTTCTTGATGCGGATACAGGTTCCTCTCTTCATTGGTCCTGACCACAGTCTCGCACCTTTGCGAGTACTTGCTCTGGGATGGTGCCTGGTACTTTTGACGTTTATCCTCCTGCTTTGGAGGAATAAAACTGCTGTGATAATTATACTGAGATCCGTACGACGACGTAGCATGCTGAGGAACAGCGGGAACACTCGGAGGTTGGCAGTACTGTAGAAGAGGCGGTTGAGCTTGTTTGGTACGATTTTGTTGATCCTCGTTCAAAACTGACGTGATGATGCTTTTCAAACGGTCCTCGAAGTTGGCTATACGCGGTGGCTCTTGGGCTTTAGGAATGCTGTTAGAATTTTGGGCAGTGGACTGGGAATTATCAGTTACGGGATAGTTGTGGTGGGTTTTTTGTTTTTTGGACATAGGGAGAGGCGCAGGCATGTTGTTGCGGATTATGCCCTTTTGATTATTGTTGAGCGATGTTTTGTTGATCAGGGATGACACCTGGAAGTAGTCATATGTAAGATTTTTTTTTAATATCTTGGGACATCATTTTCACTTCACACACACACATATATACGAGCATAAGAGAGAAAAATATTGTAGTCATGCGAACAGCCCAAAAATGAATTCCACAGAGGTTTTTTTTTTTAACATACATGATGAAAAGGATATTCCAATAAACATAATTGATGACACAAAGGCACGCCGAGCTAGCAGTAGCGTACGATGTGTTACGCTACGCTATTCCGTGTCGGTAACCGATGGTAATGAGTTCTATCATTGATTAATATTTTCCACCAGAAGATACACAATTGAATTGAAAGCCGCCGTGGCTGTACGCAAAAATGGACTATTTTCTGGGCTATTGAAGCGACGAGTTTTTTTTTATCTTCATGATATCTACCTGTTCAATTTCCTAAAAATTTGTCAGCTTGAGGTTGTATTGTCTCCCGACAAAAAAACGAAAGCTAAAATCTAGTATTTTTCCCGTGTATAATACACAGTTTATCTGTGACGGGAAAAACGATGATTTACTATTGAAAAATTATATTATTACAATATTTAAGTCATAAAATTATCCATGTGAAATTTGAATTTTGAAATCAGTAGGCTATGCTGTACTTATAGCGACAATTAGACGTGCGTTGCTAAGGAAACTTTTAAAGTAATCAATTAGCTGTCAATTTAATTTTGTGATTTGATTTAAAAATTGTGAACTTAGTGCTAAACCTAGAGCTAAATCGTTTATATATCATCAGTACTCAGTTTTGTCTCCCGGGGGAAAAAGTAATTTCATAAAAAGTGACAGAGATAAAATGTCAAACATTTTTCCCGTCACAGAAAAAACATTTATTTTATTATAGCTAAGATGTAAACTAAAATACTTCCCGAAAATAGTAAAATGCATGACCACTAGTATCAAGATACGAGGGTTGTCTCAAAGTTACCGAGTTTCTAAACGGGCTGCCTGCGGACTTCCTTCAGGCGCGAGTGCAAAAGTGGATTTCACGTCGTGGCGACTATGGAGAAAAATAGCTTAAAGATCAACGTTTCAAATGATTAATTCTTTTTTCAAATAAAAAATTCCTTGTGCCTGAAAAAAATGTGCGAACCTTATTTTTGAAACAACCCTCGTACGTCGTTGCGATGGAGATGTCTTGAGAATCAAGTACCCTTACGAGGCTCCTCACGCCATTTTCACGGGTGTTTTTCTTTTGTAATTCGAGAAAGCAATCTTTGAAGAGGACTTAAACGTAAAAGTATATAAGCACTTTCCATACAATCAGTCAGACCACTCTATCACACAATTCAGCAACGTGAGCAATAAGAAAATACTTTATTAACAAAATTACAACGACAATCATTCAATTAATGAAATCTTCCAAATCTAGCAATATACAGCTTTCTGTCGCGACATCACTCAGTGAACCAACAGCAAACATGAACAAGATATGAAACAACAGCAACAATTTATTAACAAAAGGAAGAAATGCAAGCAATAAAATCTTTCAACTATGAAAACCACATCAAACACGACTCAGACTTGGTTCTCTCTATTATGTATGTATCGAAGAAAAAGACTAAACCAAAACAGTGATCATCGCGTGTTTATTGCGTGATCAGTACACTGATATATTTCAAGAGAGAGGGAGGAGCATAACTGTTATCGGGCAAAACCAAACACAAAACCAATGACAAACCAGAGGGTGGAGTGGGAGACGATATGACCGTGCATGCCGGCTGTCCCGGTGGCTGGCCGTACAGTACAGAATTGGCATCAGATTTATATAGGTGTGTGCCTATTAGATTTGTCAGTTTAATTTCGTATAACTCAAAATGTCTGATACGGATACAGCTGATGAAGTTGTTGATATAAGTTGCACACCGCCTAAAAAAAAAAACTAAAGGGCTTCATTTTAGCGTTAGCGAAAAACAAATAATTATCACCATTTATAAATACGAAATGCAAGGAAGGAGTGACTCAGGTGTTCAGGACATTGTTTGCAAAGCTGACACCTACATATCTTTCAATACTTGTAAGAAGAGGAATTTCAACTAATATTGTATTTTATTTTTGTTTTTGTACATGTTTAAATTACATCGAGATAAGAAATGAAGCAATCATTTTGTTGGGTTCTTAATGCTTTCAATATGAGCGGTTTTAAAGTGTCGAAAGTGTCAATTATTTTTAGGAAAATGTAAGCGATGGATAATTTACCACATCGGTAATGAAGATGGATTTGTGTCCGATGCTTTATGGGCATTTGAATCCAAAGAAACGGAAAATTGGTTCTCAAATACTCTACCGAAGCTTAGTATAGTATTAGATAATGCTTCATTCCACACGAGAAAATCAGAGAAAATTCCAACAACGTCAATAAAAAAATCAAGAATTCAAGGATGGGTTGAAAATAAAAAGATTGATTAGTTGTTTTCTTTTTGGTCATGACAGTTAAATTAAAAAAATACTTTAATGCCAAGCTTTACGTTTGGACCCTATACATGCCTGCAATAATTTTGCATACTTTTTGATCGTGTCGTAGAACCACAAAACATTTATTCTTAGTACGCCGCTGTAACGTGGTCGGCGTTCCCGAGCGCGATCACGTGGGGTATACGTGAATATGTTAAGGCTTGGTCTCTTTCTTCGATGGATACATAATACTTGCATTTACCTTATTGTTAGTTACTGCAGCCGACATCTTGCTAGCCTCGATCTTCCTCCCAGTTTCTAGAATCTTCTGCGCCAATATTTCAGGATTCTGTTCTTCAATTTTGGCGATATCGGGAACATCCGGCCAATCTTGCGACCTCGCTCTATAGTCCCTAAACTTCCTAGACACCTTAGCTGACTGTTGTTGCTGCCTAGCTGCCAAGACTTGAGCTTGCTTTCTCTCTTCATTAGATTTCTGGAGGCTGAATATATCGTTCTCCAGTTTGGAGACTTCATTCTGAAGTTTCTTGCGATGAGACAATGTGGAAGAAATTTCTCTCAGAATGTACTCCTGGGCAACTCCAGGAGTTAGTTCACTGGGTTGGTGCCCGAGGTACTTCTCACAAACCTCCATCTGTCTTTGAAGTACCAGATTGTCTTTCTCTGCTTCCAAGCTTGCTACTTGCCCTTGCAACTTGCTGGCCTTAGCCTGCAGCTCTTTGTGACGGCACACGATCTCCTTAGCTTTAGCTAGTAGGTCTACTGGAGAGGTAGCATTGATACCAAGTTCACTCATCCTCGCTTTAAGTAAGGCGACGCTATCGTCGATCAGTACTTTAATCTGCTTTTCTAACTGAGCCGCCCGACTTTTCAGCTTCTTATTCTTTTCTTTTTCTTCTTCAATTTGACTATCCACCAAGGTCTTGTACATCGGATTTTTCATTTGGTGCAACATCTGCATATAGTGACCTTTGAACATATCAAGTAAAACCTGGAGACCATAAGGTGTTTCTGAGGGCTCCTCAGGTATTTCTAGCTCATTATGTACGATGACTTCTGAGCTAAGAGCTGTAAGTTGCTGATCCACAGTTCCTGGAGCAGGAGGCAGCTTCTTACCAGTAGCTTGTGGCAGAGTACTCAACAACGTTTCGTTATGAAGGAGGTCTAAGCCGTTGATCTTAATCTGCTTCTTGGATTTGGCTTTCTTCATTCTACCACGTCTGGGCTTGCCAATTGGCTTCTTCTCAGCTTGTTTTTGAGACGCTGGAGGATTACTATTGGTGTTTCTGTTCAGCACACGACGCAACTTCTTAGGCTGACGCTTAGTCTGGAATTTAAAAAAGATATTCTATTTTCAAAGTTCGAGGTAAGAGGTATTGCGAGAAATAATGAGTCAATCAACCGTTCAGTCCCAGGAGCCAGAACTATGACGCTGCTCACACCTAATGTAAAAAAGACGTTCAAGTGTAAAAACATATCTTCTGCCAACTTGCTACTTTCAATTTTCGAACGCCCTGTATAAAGAACTTGCATTACATTTGAGTAAGAATCCACACATTTCAGAGTGTTGCAGGATGTTGTCAAGAAAATTTAGGTGTACATTCAGCATGTAAAGTCTGAAAAAACATTTTTATAATCATGGTCCGGAAATTTCCTGTTTTCGTTGCTAGGCCGTGGAAACTTGTCTGCCTACATATGGTGTATATTTTGGAAATATATATCAGTTATACTATGAACCCAAATTTCCGTAAATCTCTTACGTCAACTCTGTGAGTAATCAGTTGCTGCAATTCTACTTAGGACACCCTGTATGTTTAGCGAAAAATTGTACCATTTTTTGTTAAAGCACATAGATTTGTCAGCAAGAAGAACAAGTATTATAGAAATAAAGTATTTCCGAACCTCCGTTTATGTGAACTTTTTTTATGTATTAATATGCTGAATAATAATAATAATAAAAATAATCGTCTTTATTTAAACTGTACAATTTCATATAAAGAAACAAGAGTTGCATATGGTGGCGAAGTTTAGCAACATGTCACGCTTACACTTAACCACCCATGCAAAAAAAAACAAAAGTTGTTAAGTAGCAGATATCAAACAAAAAAAAATACATGTTGCACCAAGGTTTGCTACAGGGATTAAAGAAAAAACATTTAACAATCTAGATAAGAGCAATCTATTTAAGCTATGGGTGCAAGCATATATGAGATTTGACAGATTTCTTGAAGCAATTTAATCTGCCCTTTGATTTTTCTGAAAATATTATGTGACAATCTGTATAAAACATGCATAGTAGGTGAAAGGAGCCCATATTATCCAATGCTAAATTCAAACAAAAGTATAAATTTTGGACCTGTGAATTGGCCTCCAAGATCTTGTGATTTAACACCGCTAGACTATTTTCTGTGGGGCTATGTAAAGTCATTGGTCTATGCGGATAAGCCACAAACGCTTGACCATTTGGAGGACAACATTCGCCATGTTATTACCGATATACGGCCACAAATGTTGGAAAAAGTCATCGAAAATTGGACGTCCAGATTGGACGACATCCGAGCCAGCCGTGGCAGTCATATGCCAGAAATCATATTTAAAATGTAATGCCACAAGATTATCTTTCGAATAAAAAAAATGCATGTCAATCGAATAATCCATCGTTGTTTTATTTGCAATTTAAAGTTCTATATCTCTAAAAAAACACCCTTTATTTATGTAGTATACAGGTATCTGATAAAGCCCTTACACGGGCGGTTGTCACTATGCAAGACTTTCAACTGTTTTTAGTGCAATATACTCTGACTAATCTGACAGATATCGAGGGTGCTGCCAGATTAGTAAAAAACGCCGGATTATGGGAAACTCATCATTAAAATGCAGAAACTTGACTAGTAAATGTTATATTAGAATCAAAAACCCATATGTAACAAATGTTTTCTAGTGCAGTAAGACTACAGCCAAACTAGACAACTATTACACAACCCAGCGTTGCCAGATGGGTCAGAAGGAATTCTTTCAGAACAAGCACGAAAATTTACCCACTTTCTCAACAAAATTCCAAAAATAACACTGCATTAATCGGTGAGGATAGGTTTGGTTCGAAGACGAAGAGAGAATCATAAGTTTGTATCTCAATGTTGTTTCTAATATAAATACTCTGTGATTGCGGCATTAAAGTAGTTATGCTTTTTGTGCTCAAGAACTCAAAACCAGAAGCGCACTCGCTATTTTAGGACTGTGGAATCGCAGACCCGTGAATCTCCAATTCTGTTTTTTTATGACTACGGATACAGGTCTACCAACTTACAATTGACATGGAAGGCATTTCGAGAAAAATTAGCTGCGTCCGTGAACAGAATCATTGATTCAAATTGCTGATTGTGTAATTTTTTGAGGATACCACTGACAAAAGGTCACACGCCTTGGAAAATCAATGGGAAGTAATGCCTGTACTCTTAAAATATGGTAAGGATATAACAAAAAATCCACTAAAATTCTCCAAACAATTTGATGGCAAATATTTAAGTGTCTAGCGATCTTCCTCGTACTCGTTTCAGGATGTTCTTCGACTTCGTGCAGCACTGCTTCCTCAATTTCAGGTAATCTCACATAGAGATCTACCTTTAGATGTTCCTTTTCGGACAGAACCAGTTTTAACAAGACGACGATGAATATTAGAAAAGGTTCGACTATCTGGCAAAGCACGATCGGGATATCTCTGGTGATAAATCCGTCTAGCTTGCTCACCAATACTGTCGGCAAGGCCATATACGTAATGCATTTCCGCCATTTCTGCATTTGAAAAATTCACCATTGTTAACAAGATTGAAATAATGAAAAAGATGTCACAGCGAACAGATTTGAATAACAGAGACTTGTCAGATGCCAAAAGTCAGTGACATATTCCAGAGCAACTAGACATTTAAAATAATCTATTAGACTACCCTCTATAAGTTTCAAGTGAAAAAACAGTGAAATCCGAAGTTCTAGAAGACGCAACTGACCCTGACACAAAGGCTGGATCCGCCCTTGCTATTAAAGAATAAAGAAAATAATCTCCGACTTTGAGGGTTAAATATAGTGCAGAATCCGGGTTCTGTATTCTGTATTTTAGGAGATGGGTTACCAGCAATGGCGGATTCAGGATGTCGTCCAGGGGGGGGGGGGTTAATTTTTCTACCTCAGTGAAACTTCTCGAATTTATCCTATTATTGCTCCTTAAATCTATTGTGTTCTATCTGTTCAATGCCAACTTGAAAAAAAAAAATATGGAAAGTGCTCAGAAATCCTCAGAAAGGCAATATTTTATTATATGATACCAAAGGAATTACGTGGCATTTATAATTAACTAGTGTAATAATATTAAAGATTAAAATATAAAAAACTTCATTGCTCTGTTATAACCAAAAAAGACATTTTGAGGAACCCCGAGACATATGCCAGCCATCTTTGGAAAAAACTATATGTGTTAGATCGTGATTATTTTGATAATGTATGTTTGTACGAAACAAGAACAGGAATACAGGGCTGTACATATTCACGTGTAGTGCAGAAGCTCTGTGACTTAAACGAATTCCAATATAGCAACATAAATAGAAACATACGCGGGAAGAAGTGCTAGACGTGTGGTATTGAGTTTGAGCATCGATCGACGCATTTTCTGGACAGGCTACAGGCACACCGCTAAGCAAATCTCATAAATGTATATTTCCAATGTAGGCGTTCATCTAACATATAGCAAATATCCCCGAAATAATTGCAAAGTCCGGTTTTATTGGTGCAAGTTGTTCAAGGTTGGTTACACCAACTTTTGTGGGAAAACTTTTTATTCAACAACAAAGAATGAGAAAACGTGTTTTTGGGATTCAATCGAAAGTATTGGCAGGAACGAAAAAACTTTTTATGTAAGATTTTTAGGTATTTATGAAACCTACAGAGTGAAACCATACATGAAAAGATCCGACTAATAGCAAAAATGTTATGGCCGAAAAACCAGGCAAAATGCAGGTTTTGGCACTTGTTGGTAATGCGACGATAATTTTAAGCAACTACTTGAAATTCTTCAAATCCGCAGGATTCATACTTGTGAATAACAACAGCAAAATTGGAGTATAATGGTCAAGTAGTTTTTTGAGAATTTCTAATTGTTTATCCCAAAACACCTGTTTTCCGGACATCACTACTAGTTTATTGAGCTATACGGGATTAGTTCAAAGAGCATTTTACAGCAAAATATACTAATTTACCTTGCCGATATGAATTACAAACCATTCCGAAAGATAAATGTTATTTTTATGCGAAAAACAAAGGTTACGTTTTTTTTCTTCAAAGCAAATTCAAAACACTTGGCATTTGTGAGTAATTGAGCCAATGCGCTAAGATATTCGAAATACATACTTTACTATACACATTTTAAAACAAAGCGGGTCTGTCTATCATCTTTTGTTGCGAGTTACAAATACGAAATGATTGAATTTATTTAGAAGAAAAACGTTACCCATCCTTTTTTGCATAAAAATAACATTTATCTTCCGGAATAATTTTCGATTCACATCGGCAAGGTAAACTAGTGTATTTTGCTATAAAATGCCCTTTGAACCAACCCATGTAGATTGCTTAAAACAACAAGTAGTGATGGCCGGAAAACAGGTGTCTTGGGATAAACAATTAGAAATTCTCACAAACTACCAATCTACTCCAATTTTGTTGTGGTTATTTAGAAGTACCAATCCTACGAATTTGAAGAATTTCAAATATCTGCGAGAAACCGTCGACGCATTACCAACACGTGCCAAGTCCTGCAGTTTGCCTCGGTTTTCGGCGATAACTTTTTGGCTATTAGTCGGATATTTTTACGTGGGGTCTCATTTTGTAGGTCTCATAAATTTTTAAAAATCTTATAAGAAGAGTTTTTTCGTCCCTGCCAATTATTTAGATTGAATCCCAAAAAACACGTTTTCTCATTCTTTGTTGTCGAGCAACTTGCAGCAATAAAACCAGACTTTAGAACTATTTCGCAAACCAGCCTTATTTTCATCTAATATGATTAGACTAATTAATAGTGCTTCGCTGCAACACCAACCCCGAACAAAATCAGTCAAGCTTTACACACTTTTCAAATAACTATTGAGCAACAATCAGAACATAAATCACTTTTCAAGTGCAATCTGTATAGCTAATACAGGGTGCGGCAGAGAGGACGGACGTTTTTGGGATGGGTAGTACTCTCCGCCTCCGTCTACAAGAGCCTTCGACGGTGGAGCACCGCGTTTTCGCCTATGATTGTTTCGTCCGAAATAATGAGTCAGTCATCGTCGTACAGCGTGAGTTTCGTCGCCACTTCAGCATTCATCGGAATAGAGCTGTTCCCTCTCGAAACACCATCCTTCGTTGGGTTGAATCACTTCGCAGGCGTGGTGAACTGATCAACAGAAGACCAAGAGGAGCGCCGCGAACAGTTCGAACTCCTGAAAATGTTGAACACGTTCGACAAGTCTTTCTTCGCAGTCCGACTCGATCTGTCCGGAAACACGCTGCTGCACTTCGCCTTAGTGATCGTTCGGTAAGGCGAATTTTGCATATGGATCTCCGCTTTCACCCCTACAAATTGGCCATTGTGCAACAGTTACAGCCCGGAGATTATGCACAACGAATGAACTTCGCACTTGAGATGGAAGCACTGATCGATCAAAATGAGTACATCATTTTGTTTATGAGTGACGAAGCCCACTTTTACCTAAACAGCATGGTTAACCAGCAGAATTGTCGTTATTGGGCTAATGAAAATCCGCAACAGTTACACGAAAGACCGCTGCATAGCCCAAAAGTAACGGTTTTGGTGCGCTGTATCGCAAACTTGCATCATTGGCCCTTACTTATTCGAAGACGGTAATGGTCGTGATGTTACAGTGAACTCAGAGCGCTACGTCGACATGATCACCAACTTCTTTCTCCCTGAATTACGATGGCGACCTGTTCCAATCCGACGTGTGTGGTTCCAGCAGGATGGAGAGACCGCCCACACAGCCCGAGCATCCATGGACGTTATTCGCCATCTCTTCCCTGGTCGCCTTATTTCCAGGTTTGGCGATGTTCATTGGCCTCCTCGGTCCCCAGATTTATCCATATGCGATTTTTTCTTATGGGGACACCTCAAGGCTAGAGTATACGCGAACAAGCCCCGAACTCTGGACAAATTGAAGGGCGAAATTCGCGTGGAAGTTGCCCAAGTTGAGAGAGCGATGTTGGAGAGAGTCTACGCGAACTTCCAAGAACGCCTCCAGCACTGCATCAACGATTTCGGCCACCACATGCCTGATGTGATTTTCCACATTTGACTGTCTCAAATGCTATTTCCTTGTGAACCTGATTCCATCAATAAATTTGTTTTCGAGTAAAAATTAACTATTTTATGATTTTTTTGAAACCGTCCATCCTCTCTGCCGCACCCTGTATATTGTTTGCACTTAGATTTGTCACAAGTCACAATACTCGTATATACGTATAAATCGTGAACATTGTGCTGTAAACGTGATGTCGAAGGGACAGCGTTTGGAATACCAAAGGATACCAAAAATCGCAATGCTCAGTTCCTATAGTCATAACTTATAGTTAGTATGCCTCTGTCGCCACGATGTGTCAGGAAGCAACACAGTGGTGTTAGATTACAAAAGCAAGTGTCACACGTCTAGGGGGGGGGGGTCGCCAGTGGTTACCAGATGGTCGAGATTGTTCCGACATTTCATATGATGTCCAGAATCCCGTCAAAATACAAATTACCGTGAAAAATAACAACACACAAATTTAAAATTACGATAATTATATTTTATCTTATCGATCCCAATAAGCAATACTTATTGTGAAAGGGTTTTGGCAACAGATTTAATTAAAGCCGAATTATCGATAAGATGAACATTGCTTAAATTTTAAAACTCAAATGCAAACTTCTCGTGGCAAAGTAGAAAATTAGTATGTTGTAGTTGTCTCACATTTTAATCTCATGTGCTTCATCTGTAATCTCGTAACTTTCAAAAAAAAGTATTTTGTCGTAATAACTTGTCCCGACTATAATACCCACATCCCGACTTTTTGAAATCTTGCCCAGATGTTTTGATCAATCCATCTAGTAACCCTAGATGGCAACGCCTATTAAGGGCCGTATCGTCAGTCGTTCCTACAATAATTGTAGCTTTATAGCATCCTTGATTTTCATAGTCGGTTCTCCCCTTCAGAAAGGCTGGGGTATTTCTAAATTTCGACTGTTTCGTGTCAGCGTCAGCGCTCTAGTAATGTAATACTGTTTTCTTTTTGAATTATGGGCATATATACCAATACCAGATGATATAAATCAAAAACGTGAACAATTTGATGCAAATAGATATTTTCAACATAATCTCAAAATAGAAGGCAGCAGAAAACTATGAAAATCAAGGAGGCCATAAAGACGTCCTACAGTTTCGGATTATGGAGGTCGATTGTACTGTTATCAATTTGGGACACACTGTATTAGTTCCGAAAATAGTCAAGGTCGGATGCATAGGGGGGGAACTATAGGCTACTTGAAGATAAATAAATTGCATGGAAGCTATGATTTTGTAAACAATCGATATAGCGAGATGCGTCAGTGGTTTTCATGTATCATTCTTTGAGAATGTTACACAAAGTATAATATCTACACAATGAGCACAACAGGTGGTTGAATACAACTTCGATTAATATATATATCAAAATAAAATATTTTACCTCAGGACTAGGAATGCTAAATAGGAATCTCATCTTGATGGGGCACGATACAGGAGAGCATTTGTCTGCATCCATACGATATCAACCATGAACCACAAATGTGCAGACTTTGCAGAATATTACGTGAGCGGCTCATCATTTTGTTGATAGTGATGGGAGATTTCGGATTCGAGTATTCGCTGGATCCGAATATTAATTTATATGTATACTGCCGCACTTAGGTCAAAGGCAGTAAAGTTCATTTTGTTGTATATAATTATTAAATGTTGTCATATAATTATTAAATTGAATTAGTAATTTGTTTTTTCTATTCATGTAAATTTCTATATGAATATATTATATGAAAATAAAATAAAATTTTACATTACTGCGTTTTTCCTCTCAAAAATAATATAAACAGATTATGAAACCTCCGAGAAAATGTAATACATTTCATTTTGCAGACTAGAAAAGTAGTTAATTACATGTTATTGCTTTTTGATTTACAACAATTAAAGGCAGAATGTCATTTATTTTAGGAATCAACAACAATTGTGATCTGAAATCAATTTTCAATTAACTCTATAAATTTCTGTAACTATGCAATATTCATTCACTTTTGTTCTGTCGTAATAATACTATTTGTTTACTTCCTTTACTATCAATAATGTTGAACTCAATTTTCTCCGACTTCGATTTTCACAAGGTCATATGGAATAAGTAAGCAGATTGACTACCCTTAGAGAAACTGCACAATGCACAACACCATCCTTAATGCAGCTACTACTCGCTCTTGCACACACACATGCATTGGGTGACTTAGTACTATTTTATATCGAAGATCAGCAAACGGTAAGCTCGCACGCTCATGCCAAGCAAGTTGTCATGTTGACACTGACAAGCACATAATATGTGGAAAACTCATACGAGGAGGAGGAAATTTTCAAGGAGGTGAGGCAAAACAAACGTTCGCGCATGAAGGCTGATTGCATATGTACGAGTATGTATGTATGAAAGGAATTCAGGTGGTTTTATGGCGGGTTTATACAACCTTTTAATAATCATAGTCATAAGCATAGACACAAGCATAATCACAGTTACAAGATCGGAGTGTTTATTCAGCTGTCTTAATCATAGTTCCTTATAACCGGTTGTTCTAGCCCCTCATTGTTGGTCAATTTCAACAACGATAGAAACAAAAACATCAAAAATCGAACGATAAAACAGCGAACACGTCGAAAATTAAAAACAAAATGTAATAGCGACAACAAAACAACGTCACTTGACAGAACACCTTTGACAGTGTTGACACATAGACTTGGTAAAATGACGTTTTAGTTATAAGCATAAGAGTAACTGTTAAAAGTTACGAACTTGAAGGCCATCCCTCTATGCTCATGACAAGTTGTATAAAGGCGTTGATAAGAAATACTATGATAATGAATGACTATTATAAGGTTGTATAAAATGCCCGTATTTATAAAGCTCACTTGAGGCTTACTCAATTGTAAGGCGCTCTTAAGTCGAGATTTCACTTTTATAGTCGGCTTGTCTGTCTTGAGGGACCCTTAAGTTCCTATCAAACTTGAGGAAGCATCAAAGGTACTTTGTGGACTCCTTCAGTTGAATATTTGGAACTTATTTTAATGTCTTTGACATTTGGTGGTTAGAAAAATAATGGATATGGACAATTTTCTTGATTTTATCGAATGGGTAGAATATGTGGGAGAAGCAGGTTCAGCAGGAAGGATGCCCAAACGGTACATAAGAGATGCGCAGAATCCTTTTGAATTTTATGAAGATGTTGAATTCAAGCGACGGTATAGATTCTCAAAATGTATAGTGATAGATGAAATGTTGCCACTTGTGAATGAGGCCTTGCAAAAAAATTCAAACCGTGGTTTACTAATACTTCCGATTTTTCAACTCTTAGTTTCTCTACGGTTTTATGCTACAGCAAATTATCAGATATATGTATTTCCAAGACATCAAATAACATTCCTAGTATTAAATATAGTAATAAAGTATGTTTTGTAGGAAGTTGCCGGAGACCTTCGAGGTATTTCCCAAGCCTCTGCCTCTTTAATTATAAGGAGGGTTTCAATTGCACTTGCCCCACACTTGAATATTGTGAAATTTCCAAATAATTTAATTGCTCAGCAAATAAATAGAAGATACTTTTTCCTAATGGCAAATTTTCCTAATGTGGCGGCTTGTGTGGATGGAACACATATATTAATAAAAAAAAACCTGGTGATAATATAGGAGAAATATTCAGAAATAGGAAAGGGCAGTTTTCCATTAATTTTCAAGTAAGAATATTTTATAAGTAATAATCTAATACATAACTCATTTTTTTGATTGTTCATACTGCTTGCCGTTCGATAAAGAATAATAAAATTAGGGCAATATAATTTTTAGGTAGCATGTGGACTAAATTTAGAAATTTTAAATCTTGTTGCAAGACATCCAGGTTCTACACATGACAATGTTATATTTGGACAAAGTGGTCTACAAGTAAAATTTGAAAATAATGAAGTACAAGACACGTGATTAGTATTCTATTGCATTTATGTTTAAACGTAACTACTCATTTTAGGAATTCTATTGGGTGACAATGGTTATGCATGCCGAAGGTATTTGTTAAGAAAATTACAATCGAGCACATATAAGAACTAGAAATATACTTGAACGTGTTTTTGGTGTCTGGAAAAGAAGATTCCCATGCTTGAGAAGAACCCTTGAAACTAAAGAAAACAGCAATTTTACACAACATTGCTAGAAACTTGAATGATATCTTTGAAAAAAATGAGCTAATGATCGACCAGGTGATGGATTAGCCTTTAGAAGGACTTTTATAGTAACTCATTTTTAATAAATAAAAATTAAAAATTTCATCTGGTGTATCTATTTTACAACAAAATTTGTAATATGCTGTTTCTTTGCTGACAAACGTAAACTTCAAATAACTTTTAGCACAAACACAATATGCAATTAACTACTTTATTGATTAAATTTTTTTAATTTTGTTTCCTAATATAATTTTTCTGCCTCGGCTGCCTGTTTTTTAATAAAATGGAGTTCTTCATCGTGCTCCATGGATCTTTGCAATTTTTGTATTCTTAGAAGAGCTTCCTATTCAATTAGTGATGTTCTTGTTGAATGGGTCTCACATACTGATGGTCTTTTTCTTTTCTTCTGTGGAGTTATAAAATTTTCAGATGAGTTATTCCCATACGGTTGTCCTAAAAAATATATGAATATTTTAATTTGACAATAATAATTATAATAGATAATATACACACCGTTTACCACAGATTTTTTTGCTTTAGTGGTATCTTGCCTTTTTTTATTTCAGGCTTATCTTGGTCTATGTCGCCCATATTTGACTGTGCGTCAATAACTTCAATAAATTCTTGAGATGTGTTGTGTTCGGATTGAAGTTGAGAATCTAATGACATTGTAATACAAAAATAGGTAAATATGAAGAAGTGTGCCATTGGTACCATATTATACACACTCTCGAAAAGGATCACAAAATTGCGGTCCGACTCATTTTCAATTATATAACTAATTGTAGGGACAACTGACCGAACTCGACCGAACACTTTTCCTAGTTCTGAAACAAAAACACATTTGGTATTAAATTAGAAAATGACAAATTATGTATTTCCCGTATACCTTTGTTTCAAATTCTCCCACAATTTTCTCAATTGCTTATCAGTTCTAGAACAAACATCATTTGTATTATATAGATCTTTAATTTCCTTCCAGGCCCCATTTTTCTTTTCGATATTGGTGGCATCTGTTTTCTTATTTTCTAATATGTGCTTATAACTATCAACTAATGATATAAGCAACAATTTGACCTTTTCGGAAAAAACTTTTCGCTCGCATGAATCTATGGAGTATATTATATAGTAATTACTTTAAATTAAATATACAGTTTTGTACTTAATCTTGTTAGTATTATTTATTTTATTAACAAATAAAGATGTAGTAGCGGTAACAGGAAGTTCCTATAAGGAATTTTGAAAATACACTGAAAACTCTGGGTCACTCTGGGAATAAGAATCAGAATGCTAAAGATAAATATCTGGTTTGCAGAGGGCTAAAACTTTTGGAATTTTCTACTAGTTTATTGTTTTATGGATGTTTGTTTATTTGTATTGGGCAAGTTTATGGGTTATGTTTCTTGGCGTTTCGATGCTGCCAAATGTAAAGGCCTACTCATTCGAGGGGAGCATGAGTTACGTTTATAAAAACGAATCTTGAGGAACCCTTGAGGATTCCTTGGCTAAGGGGATCTAAAGGGTTTATACGAGTGTCGAGTATTCCAAAAAAACAGTGGCCTTAATTTTAGTGCAGAAGGTCGGTAGGTCAAAAATAGTAGGTTTAGAAACTTCATCTGAACATGGGCCCTTACCGAGGTACAGTCATGGGCGCCCTCAGGGGAGTGGGACTGGAGAATTCAGTTACCCCTCTAAAATTTGCATATTTATCATGATTTTATGTACGTTTGTGAGATTTGGGGGCTAATACACTTTTATAATATAAAAAATTTTCCTCTTACGTCTAGACGGCGCCCTTGGGATAAATTCCTGCGGAGTACGTGGATACATTGTGTTGAATGTAGTACTTGCAGTGGAGCAAAAACAACACTGACCAAAGAAGTACTTGGACATTATTTTTGCTGCTTTTACCTCCTGGGGTAAACATTGAAGTTTTCTTCAAATAGTTCCAAAGTAGCTAAACTGGTTGCATACGACTGGCAATTCGTAATCGGGGCGTTATTTTTATTGGAAGTTGATGACATACATCACGAAAAACCAAGTCACTCATTTCCGCGTAGTCGAACAATTCTTCTGGACGCGTCAATATCTTCAGAAAGGTCCCCCTACTGCTTATTTTTGAACGGGATACTGAGATTTGAGATGATGAAATTGAAGCATGAATGTATTTTATCGTAAAAACACTTAAAAGTTTAAAGGTGGAGACTAGGCGCCATACTGTAACAAATGGCAATATTCCCATGTTGGGAATATTCCCAGAAAGTTGCCAAGGTCTGTTTAAGTTCCCAAAATTTGGGAATTTTTAAAGCGGCAATATTGCCGGAAATGCGGGAATATTTCCACATTTACGGCAACATTATTGGCAATCATTTTATTAGCTGCATCCGAGTGGCGCAATCAGCTCTCTCCCACCGGACCAATACAATACGTTGGGGCTGTCGCGCCGCCGGTACGACAACAATAAACCAAGACCAAAAAGCATGAACAGTCTCATTTGGAGAACCTTCGTAGCCTTTTGGAACCAGTTGTGCACTGGATCACATATTTGGATGGTGACTTCAATAGTATTTACGTAGTGTGGTCGGTATTTTTAGAAATAGAAAAAAGCTGGAAGACTTATTGCCTCAGGCCTTGAAGTCTTCCACAGAAGCAGAGTCAATTCGGCAGAAATTTGAAGACAGACAGTTACACGCCTTCAAGCCTATTCATTTGGCAGCTTCTCTCCTGGATCCCAGAAGCCAGGAATTAATAATGATAGCACAACAACAAACTGACCGTTGTGAAGTAATATGTCAAATCGGACGAAACATCAATAACATTGATGATCAAAATCTTATGGTAGAACTTGCTATGTACAGATATCGAGAGAGCATTTGGAGAAAGAAGTTTGTTTGGAAGACTGCTGAAAATGAAAGCATAAGTGCTTTGTTATGGTGGAAAACCTTTTATCAAAATACTGACTTAGAAAAGGTTGCAATAAGAATTTTAAGTGTGCCCTCAACATCTGCCTCTGTGGAAAGATCCTCCACGTTCTCATTTGTACATGATAAGAAGCGACATAAACGGAATACCAACAGAGCAGGAAAACTATGCTACATTGTTCATAACTGCAAAGGTAAGCACAGAAGAAAGGCACCAGGTATCAATAAGACAACCAAAATCACAACTGGTGATAATACTGAGTCAACGTCACAACCACAGCAAGCAAGTCATCGTCAAGAACCTTAGAATACACTAGTATAATGGAAACTGTTGACAATAATAACACTTCTACTACATCGCATTCATCGTGCTCCTATACATCAGGGTCGGAATCGGAAGCAGGATCTGAGACTTAGTTCCCGGGTTCAAAATCACCATGCACGAGCACGAATTACACGATATATCATAATCCCATAATTTTAAGGATTAAGATAAGTTTTGTAATAATGAGAGGAATTCGTTTTTAGTTTAATATTTTATTTTTGTTGATTTGTCCTATATATTATAATAAACTATGTATTACTTTATTCGTTTTTTTGCTCATACCATTAATTATATACAACAGTACAACATTTAATTGATTTACAGCTTTAAACATAAAGTTGCCACTTTTGGGCAATATTGCCGGCAAAATTATCCCTAATATTGCCTTTGATTTAAATTGCCGGCAACCGCACAATGCTACGTATGATAGGGTGAATGTGCCAGTGGTCGGACTGTTTAGACATAAGTAGAATAAAAAGTGTAATTATGAATTTTGTGCTCAAGATAACACAACTAATGCTTTTGGGGGTGATCAGATATGTGTACTTTTCGCCGACAACAAATACATTGTTTATAGACATTCCTGTAATTTTGTAAAAAATCTTAATCAAAAAGCTGCTATTTTGCCAGTATTCCGAAGGTGCTACTAGTCGGCCGGCTAATTTCCAATTGTCGGACAGCATTTGATTGGCCAGTTTTAGACAGAACCGTATTTGGAAATTTGTGATAAAATAGAAATTTCAACTCAGTTGTGATTAAGACTTTCGGAAAAAGAAATTAAACACACTCATAGTGAGTTCATTTAATATAGATATTTTTATCAAAAATACATACAAACTAGGTAAAAATTAACAAGAAACTACTTTAATCCGGTCCTGCACTGTCGACTTTGAACTACCATACTGTTTACATATTTCAAGCAATTTCCCAACATTTCTCACAGCGTCGACCGTCTTCTCTAGCATGCCTTTACCATATGTACAGAATTTATTTTTTTCTTGGTATCCATTCCCGAATCAAGTGGAAATGTGAAATTTTTCACAGTCCCGTGAAAAAATTGCTGGAAAATGCTATGAAAATTCGTTCATTCCAGTAGTCGGACACATATCACTGGCCATAATCCACATTAATCTATTGCTGTCCGTCCACTGGTTGGAGCTTCAGACGTATTTTAGTTTGTTTGATTCCAAGAGAAAAGTTTGTAGTTTCTATGTTTAAAGAAAAAATATATATTGATAACGAACGCTTATCCGACTATTAGTAGCAAGTATTATATTCCAAATATTCAAGTTTTTACCAATAATATAACATTTGTCCGACTGCTGGTAGTGTCCGGGTTACTGGCACATTCTGAAGTAGAGTATTTTATAAAGCTATCAAAGCCGAGTATTTTAGTATATTGAATCCCTCACACCTCAACATCAACTTGTAGTATATACATCAATCTTAAAGTAAAATATGAAAAATTCAGCTTTTAAAAGGAGAGATTCTGACAGTTTTTTTTTAATCTTAACTTTGACAGCCTGCCAATTTCAAAGACGATTTTATATTCTAAGGTTATAGGGAGCTTTACAATGAGGTATTATACGTTCTCCTATTGTTTAAAATATATTCCAAGATGGCGCCCAGCCGTCATTTTGAAATTTTCAGCTGCCGCTTTCACGCTAAGGTATAGTATTTGCTTTGCTCAATTATCGTCGTATTAGAGGTTAACCGTTAAGGGATAGGAAAGGTACAAGCAAGGGTAGAAGCCTAAACATGACACAGCATATATTATCATTTATTAAGAATAATTACATGTAGTTAAGGTATACAAAAATGAACAAGAACAAAAAATTAATACTGGGAGTAATTACGAAGTGTGAACATATAAAAAACAACCCTTTTCGGTCTAAGGCAGGGGCATTAAAAGCCTCATACGAAGTAATGAATTGGCAGGGTCAATCTTGCATGAGCATCCCACAGTGGTAACTGCCTTTTTCCCAGTTGCCTCGTCTTCAAAATCATTCTAATAATGAAAGTTTGATGAAATGGTTTTGACAATGAAGTTGGCAATGTGATTGACAATGAAGTTGGCAATGTGACGTCTACGTCAACTTTCATAAAAAAAACACTTTGTTTTATAAGGAGTTCCTGCGGGGGTACTTTCAAAAGTACGGTCTCCTATTTATTTAAAACTACAAAAACCACTTATTTCCGGCAATTGATACCATTATAAAGCTCAAACACCTATTTTTTCACATAATCGTCATTTCGGTAAATGCATTTTTGTACAAGCTCGCTAAAAAGTCTCAATGGTAGTATTCACTGGGTGCCAAGTCCGGACAATCAGGTGGATGAGTGGTCATCTATATTGTCATGCATAATACTTAGGCCTTTGCTCAAGATTCCTGTTCGGTTCTGAATTTTCACAGTTTCTACTAACACATGTTGCCGAAGTTGAAATGAGCATTTGGTCAGAAAATTCCGACGCAGAAGTGAAAGATGAGGTTAAGTGGTTCCTCAAGAACCTCACAACGAGCTGGTATGACATGGGCACAACACTTGAGATAATATATGACAAATGTTTGCTATAATGCAAATTTTATATATCTATTTTTTGGGCGTACATAGCCCCCAAAATTCAATCAGGGTTGCTCATTTTTTCAGTCAGTAGGCCAGCAAGGTTCTGTAATCGCGAAAAAACTTTAAATGGAAGAATCATATTCAGATATAACATAGTAGGTAATCTATTAAATCTTTATAGTTTTTGTTATCGACAAAAAAAGACTGTAACTCCCCCAAACTTAACTTTGTCTTTTTTTTCGTTTATGATGATTTTGAACGTAATCAAAAATCTTTTTAGAGATAAAATTCAGAAAAAAGTCAAACTTTGTTGATATATTTTAAGGCGCAGTCAATAGTTAATTTGAAGGATTCAAAGAGTATGAAATCTCGTTTTTCAAATTCTAATCATCAAGTTACTTTTGCATAACTTCAAACACATCACGAGATGTGCAATTCGAAAATTTGTGAACTGGAATCTGCGTTGAAAAACTGCTGTTACAATATGTTATCTGGAAAAGTCACAAAACTTATTTGATCAGGCTAACTAGCCGAATATAAACCCTGTTGTAAAGATTTATATATTCTTCAGAATGCATGCAAAGGCTCCTCATCTCGAAATAAAAGATTCTGGATAGCTCTGTTATCAAACTTTAGATATTTAAGTATATATAATAATTGGGAAATGGATGAAAACACCTTCATTGCAACAGGTGATTGGTTATTGCAAAAAAATCGTTCATTTTTTTTGCCAAAAAGTGCGTAAGAGGAAATATGAAATAGTAGGCAAAAGTTACAGCCTTTGTAGTGATTAACATCGAAAAAAATCTTCAAAAATGCTCAAGCTATCCAAAGATGTAACGGCTGCAACAAATTAGACATAGAGGGTGAGTTTTTAGTATCTAATTGGACAGTATCTTCATTACTATACAATATAATCAAAAATGTTATTTACAAAAATTATTATTTCTACTTAAAATATACATTTTCCTACAGGGTAATTCATACCGACATGACAACAAAAACGATTTTTTTTATATGGAACGCCTTACATATTTTGGTATATTCCAATATGCCACTTCAAAGGGAGACGTTTTGATATAGCCGAAATATAGCATATTATACTGATTTTGAAAATAATTTCTCTTTATCGATATTTTTATTCATTGTTTTTCCACAATTACTTGAAATTTCGTCATATGGTCAGAAATAGTTTTATAGAATATGTAAAAGGATATGTACCTATGATTTGAAAAACAAAGTTGTCATATTTTCACCATTTGTGATCTCCGAAGCGGTGAAAGTTACGGGTCGGTTGAAAGTAGCGTATTTATATATTCTAGAAAATGCATTTGAATAGTTTTGTCGCTTCCAGTATCTCTAGAGATACACGGAAAAGGGAACGAATTTTCTCAAAATCGTTTCTAATTTTTTTCTAAATTCATTTTAATTTTTGCCGAGCTAGGGTGCACCCTTGATCCAAACCTGTCTTCACGAATTTTGGCATCCAGGTTAACAAAGAGGTTGGAATAATATGAGCCCCTAATTGTTCTGCCCTTTTAAAGGTAATCAATTAACAGAAGCCCTTCCGCATTTAAAAACACACTGGCCATGACCTTACCGGCAGATACTTTTTTGGTGCTGAACCACCGGAGCACCATGTCTGTGTCAGGTCGACAAAAACTTATGTTCACATTTAGAAAAGTAGACCAAAATTTAAGCTTTATAATGATGTATCTACTATTGGAAATAAATGATTATTGTATTATTTTTTAAAACAGGAGATCTCGCTTTTGAGACAAAAAACAAAAACATTATTATTGAGCTTGACAATCTGCACATGTGCGTGAAAACAGCTGTCAAACAGCAAAAATAAGAAATAATGACTTTGTTCGATCTGAGGCCTCCTTATTGTACAAAGTTCTCTGGGAAACACATTCCACATTACATGCCAAATCAATAAAGATAAACAAAGGTAAAGGAGGTCTCATAAAGAAAAAAGCCGCCTTTGATATCGGACAACTCGGACATTTTCAAGCGAGAAGGCAAATAAGGTGTCTTCATAAGGTCATGGGACCTCAAGTAGAAATAAACATTACCAGTACCTCACGTACAAATAGACATTACCAACATCAACTATTGATAAACTTCACATGCCAGTTGCAATCTACTACGATTTACAAAGAAGCAAAAAAATCTGTTTTTTAAAAATCATGCAGTTTCGACTTTCATTTTCATTTGTAATTTAATCTTTATTTTAACATAATACATAGTTACATGTATACAAATATTTATAAAGAATAAGAAATACTGATGAAAAGATGAGTTTTTTCGAGTTTCGTTGATTTTTATATCGCGAAGATGCTGGGTCAACACCCTAAGGCAGAGATAGTTCCACTTACCTTTTGGATGAAAACGATCTCTTTAATATGATTCATGCAATTTCTAGCTACAGATGCACAAAGCAGTGCAATGCATTTTTCAAGCAACAATCTGTATTTGATAGCTCATCATTTTTGAAGAAGACTCTCGCTTGAAAAGAGATTAACAGAAGAAAGTTAAAACAATCGATCTAAAAAGTAAATTGTATGCATATTTTTATGTAAGAATTCAAATCTCGTCAAACTGGAATCCTGTATATATTTTTCTCACGGTATAAATAAACTCTAATGACCTAGCTATTATTAAATGACGAATAATAATAAAATGCAATAATCATTTTAATAGTCAACCGTTAGGCATTACCATCTCTTTTCAAATGCGCCATATCGTCGGTCTCCGCACGTACCGGCGTAACTAACATTTTACAAATTTTACAGGAGAGCTAGAAAACGAAAATCAGCAATAAATGAGATTGAAAATGACATACTGATTTTTTAGTCTGCACGTTGCTGTTTTTTTTCTGTTAGACTAAAATGAACCAATTTTAACGCAAAGGCGTAAATCTATTTAAGCCAGTCCGTGAAAATTGTTTTCGGAATTTTATAACTTACGCAATTTGCTGAAAATTTTATTCCTTAGCAGCAAACTGATATACAGCTACGTCATTTCGTGAAGTGAAAGACTACAAAAAAAAATGTGAAATTACGGAGTAACTCGATTTTAGATTATTTATCATTTACACCTGTACGTGCGGAGACCGACGATATGATCTATAACTCGAGTAATTTTGTCTTGAAAATCGTGACTCGAGAGTATTTAAGGAATATTGGGAGTAGGGAGATATGTGTTTCATCTTGATAAAAATATAAAAAAAATAATAAAAACATAGAGAACATTAAGCTGAAATTTCTTCACCACACCATCACAATAATTCCCAAAGCTTTGTTTCAGTTGATCAAATTTAGTTTGGACATTTCATTCATCCAAAAAAATAACGTTAGACCAACATTCTAGTGCAACATTTCCATGCAAAAAACACTCATCTCTTGTCGCAAAATATTTTGTCTAGAATGCATAATTTAGTTGACGTGATCTGAAAAAAAAAGGAAAATGGAAACGGACATCGATAGAACTATCAAGTATCGAGATGTCTGAAAAAAAATCACAAGCTCCTGGGTCCTTTCGAATCTGAAAAAAGGGTTCGAATATCCACATGCTTCAAGGTTGTGGATATCTACAACCTACCAAGTCCAGACGTATTGAGGTTTGAGGTGTTTTCTGAATAAACATCAATTTTATGGAAAAGTATTAGCGCGGCAGTCAGAGATGAATTTTTTCGTCAACCGCTGGCCGTACCGGCATTCACAACACGCCTAGCAGCATCAAAGTCGGATTGTACGTGGACCATACTCAGTTCTCATACCGAAACTATATAGGGTATTGACTTTCGTGATGAAGTTTCTGTAATTGTTATCCTTTATGATATGGAAAAATATGGGTAAAAATCAGTAAGACGAAAACCACGGATTTTTCAGCTTGGACTCAAATATTCCAGAAACGTCGATACGAAATACAATACCTTGAACATGCGAAAATTCCAAGCACAGTATCTCTAATTTGAGACCGAACACACGTACAATCTTCATTTTTCTACTACAAAATTCATAAAAACATTCCCAATAACCAGTACACCTATGACCAGAAAAAACTACAGAGGAGCTGCTCGTCTTTTAGCAGAGTGTCGACAACGGTAATCGTATTGGTTGGCTGGTTGACCAATCAAAGTTAAACGCTCTCTATATGGCTCAAATTCTCATTGGGCGTCGACAAAGAAAAACTTAATAAGTACGTTCGAAGAAATAAGTAATCTCATTCGTGTTTTTGTCGATGTGTGAGAATTGGATTCTTTAATTCGTATTGCTATTGGTCCACAAATTGAAAAATGATCTCACCACACAAACGCTGATTCAATGTGTTGTAACAAAATCGACAGGTTGTTACATATAAATATACTGCTCCAAATTTCATTATATAGTCGGATATATCATTACAAGAGAAGATGATTAATAGATAAATATGTATTTCATCTGTTTCTGTACAAAGTACAAGTACAAGATAAACCTGTCATTAAAAAATTTCACAAACCTGGCGTTTATATAAAAAGGTAGCAAAATAGAAATTCGACAATATGTATACGTCTCTGGCTAAAATGTTGAACAAAAATATTCACTTATGGAATAAAATGTTCACTCATGAACTTCTTCAAAATACGAGTATGTTTAAATTGAACTGTCTCAAGTTGACGAATACTTGTTGATAGATGATAGTACAGATCTAAAGTGGGAAATTCTTTTTTGACATCAATAGTGAGAATTTGGGTGCTGTTAAGTCATCAGAGATCTAGTCTGATAACTGTGGGGTTTGTGAACTAGTTATTTATATTTTTATTAAAGTGGCATACATAAATTAATAATGTTCGAACAGGCATTATTTCAAGATTTTTAAAGTGTTCTAATGGGTTTCTTCTGAATAATGAATAGTGTATTTTACCACAATTACCCCAAGAATTCATTTTCGGAAAACCATTTTGTTTCGCAGATATACGGCGCATGGTGAATGAATTTTTCTTAAATAATTTTTTTAAATAGCATGACTCATATTTTGGAAAAAATTGACCTCAATGCGCCTGAAATAATGTAATTTCCTCCACCAAAATATCATAGCCACACGGTACCCAATGGGTGTTTAGGCCTTAGGCCTTCGTGGTAGTTGGAGTATAAAAATGATATAAAAATCGTGCATTGTTACCTTGACTGGCATGGAATTCTCTTCTTCGGATTGACTGCTCTTGCCTTTGTTAGAGCAGTAATCAGACCAAGCTTTGCGTGTAGTGGGACCATAGCTGCTATCTTCATGATCATCAAAGTCAGAATCAGAAGTGAAATCCGCCACTTTGCCGAGGTCGCGCTTAGTTCTTTCCCTTGCACATCTTGAACTACTCGTATTGCTGTCTTCGTCACCATTCTGGAAAAAAGAAATGGCCACATGAACCTACTAATACTATTTAATAAAATCAGTAAAATCTTTCAATAACATATTCCACCAGGAGCATATCTATTCCAGCTAAAAGCCACGCCTGCGCAAAAATAAGTATACATACTCTTGTCTGTGCTGCCAACTACCTATGCTCACTGTATACATATTGGCCTCTATCTTTAGATGCCAGCGTTACCATCTGCTGGACAGTTGATGCAGGCTATCGAATTTCCGTTAACGTCCCTGAGAAATTCTGCGCATAGATGGTGAATGAGGGTAACATTTCCCTGGAAGCTTCATGTCATGTTTCAAGAATAAACAATTTTCAAACAAATTGGTGAAAAGCCTGAATCCATTACAGTTTTGTTTGTGTGATTAAATCCATCTCTCTAGGCTTATTAAAGTACATGATTGAGTCCAAGCTCAAATATGGCTTACCAAACTTTGTCGAGATTTTTTCAGCATCTTCCATTAGTAATGCCAGTTGTGCAAGCTTAAGTTAATTAAGAATTATCGCAGATCGACTATGTCCATGTTGAAGCTCTCAAATTTAGCTATTTCGACAAATGAACATGGCATACATATTGATATTGAGGATTGTATAAAAAATGTTGCTATGAAAACACATTTTTAGTTAATTAAAGGATTTAAAGATGCTTCTTTTGTCTTTTACTAATGCACTAAACTGATAAATAAAATAAAGAGGGGCGGCAAGTTTGCGGTGATCCCGGGAGGCAAAAACGGACGCTACGCCACTGTATATATAGTATGTATTGTACTTTTGATCTTGAGGCGAGTCTCACAAACAGAAACCATATTTTTGAATTCAGGTATTTATTGTATATATAAAACGGGTTTTAGATTAGTTACAAATAAATCAAATAACTACCAAAACATACATCGTTCAATCTTATTTCTATACCTTTGTTTTGCAGTTTCCGGATTTTCCAAAATGCCTTGGAGGAGTCCATTCAACATCATGACTAATTTTTCTCTTACTTCCTCCTTTTTTCTTAGCTTGATTCTTTTTGGCTGGAACTTTGACATCCTTCAATTTTGGGGCAACGAATTTGTTTGGTACCTCAGGAGTGTTACCTTGTGCCCCATTTTGACATTTATTTACGGATAGATGGTAATGTAGCTTCAGTTTCAACCTCATGAAGTCATTTTTTTCGATAGCTTCGAAATTCAGGTGCTCCATCTCGGAAATGCACTATATCGGATGCTCAAAGTATGTATTTTCTCAGCAAAATTATACACACATAGCCCTTCAGGTGTAGTAAGCTAGAGACCGTTAAAAATCGATATTGAATTTGAGAAAGCACAGATTCTGACAGATTGATGGTTTCATGTCAACATGCGATCATCATAAGTCACTTGTCTATCAAATTGAGCCTACACAAAGTAGTTCAACTGAACCTGATGAACTAGTCGGCATCAACATCGAAATATGATAGGCCAGGAATATTATTCACAAACTTCAAAATTATCGGCAAATAATAAGAGATTGAAAAAAGTGTTGAAAATGATACCTACTATTATTTCACAAAACAAATCTCCAAGTATCAAAACAACACATTTTTAATCACAATGAATCATATTCGTTCGCGATATTGTTTTTAAAAATTAAGTACTAACCGCGAATAAATGAATGAGCTTTAAAACATTAGGAAATTAAAGTTGATGAATTTATTTTGAGGACAAAAGGGCCATCCCGGCGAAATCTCTAAAAAATCAAAATGCAAATATCGTAACATGACAAACCGACCAAATTTAAGGTGAAATGGTACTATTATTTCATAAAATGAATCCCAAAATCTTGAAGTCACACAAGTTATAATAATAGACTATTTTATTTATCTACAATTACATTGCAGTCTAGCTAAATGTCAGACTTATATGGCGGAGTTTAGCATGCTGCACTTAACTTAACCATATAGTCTTTAGCAGATGTTCACAACAATACACTATTCACGAAAAGATTTGGTTAGTTACATCGAAAGTAAAAAATAAAATACCTTCCAAATCCAAGTACTCCAAAAATTATTAACCTGACTAAAACAAGGGATGGAAAGAGAAATGCGCAAATTATATGTTTGGAGGGTTAAGTAATATTGTTTCAACTTTTTGTCGCAAGACAGAAATTTTTTTTATACAGGGTGCTCCTTAATGATATGCGAATATTTAAGGGTGTGAATCTACATGAAGAATTAATGTTGGTTTGCTTTATAAACTATGGTCCAAAAATGTTTCCTTACAAAAACTCGGGGTGTTGAAGTTTTAGGATAAAAATGGTTAATATTTTCAAAACCGCTTCAGATATTTCACTGATATTTAGTACATAGTGAAAGTTAATAAAGTTGCATATTTTTCAATGCAAAATAAATTTTTAGCTTTAACAGTGGCGTTCGTACGGGTATTGACTTCGAATATTTTTTAAGAAAAAAATTGTACGCCAATGGTTCTTTGCGAAATCAAAATTATTTTTGAAATCCCCGTTCAATTTAAAACAAATGATCTCTCTTGAACTGAGTTCCTTCGATGCGCCATTTTTGAGTAAAAAATAAAAACCGTTCTATTGTCTAACTTGCAAAATTATTATTAATTTAATTGGAAAAATTAAACACATTTGGGGGAATGAACAACAACAACTGACAACATAAACATAACATTAAAACCAACTAAGTGATTACAAAAATTGTTGAACATGGCTCCCTTCACTTAGTACGCATGCTTTCGCCTTCCTTCTCATGGAATTGCGCACCCGTTTGAAATATCCCTGGAGTGTTTTTTATTCTATCACAAGCTGCAACTAGTATTTCTCTTAATTCCTCTACAGTGTTAATGGGACTTGTGGACACCAGTGTCTTAAGATAGTCCCACAAAAAGAAATCTAAAATGTTGAGGTCTGGGGACCTTGGTGGCCATTCTTGGGACCCACCGCGGCCAATCCAACGATTTGGATAAACAGTTTGTAAATAATTACGAACCGCTACACTGAAATGCGGTGGTGCACCATCATTCATGTACTACATATTGTTTATTATTACTAACGGAACATCATCAAGCAGCAAAGGCAAGTGTTGTTGAAGAAAATTGAGGTAAGTCTGTCCGTCAAGTCGTCCCGGCAAGAAGAATGGGCCAATAAAGTGGTTGCCATTCCTGCCCATAGTTTAACAGAAAGTTGGTGTTGGAAATGGGTTGCGGTTACGGCATAGGGATTTTCTTCTGCGTACAAATGATTATTGTGAAAATTCTGAATGGCCTTTCGAGAAAAATTAGCTTCGTCCGTAAACAGAATCATTGATTCAAATTGCGGATTTTGTGTAATATTTTGAAGATACCTCTGACAAAAGGTCACACGCCTTGGAAAATCAATGGGAAGTAATGCCTGTACTCTTAAAATATGGTAAGGATATAACAAAAAATCCACTAAAATTCTCCAAACAATTTGATGGAAAATATTTAAGTGTCTAGCGATCTTCCTCGTACTCGTTTCAGGATGTTCCTCAATTTCAGGTGTTCTCACACTTAGAGGTCTACCTTCAGATGTTCCTTTTCGGACAGAACCAGTTTCAACAAGACGACGATGAATATTAGAAAACGTTCGACTATCTGGCAAAGCACGATCGGGATATCTCTGGTGATAAATCCGTCTAGCTTGCTCACCATTACCGTCGGCAGGGCCATATACGTAATGCATTTCCGCCATTTCTGCATTTGAATAATTCACCATTATTAACAAGATTGTAAAAACTAAATAATGAAAAAGATGTCACAGCGAACAGATTTGAATAACAGATACTTGTCAGATGTCAAAAGCCAGTGACATATTCCAGAGCAACTAGATATTTATTGCAAAACTGCATTCTTCAATATTACATTAATTTTCTACAACAATAGAACGGCTTTTATTTTTTTTTACTCAAAAATGGCGCATCGAAGGAAAACAATTCAAGAGAGATCATTTATTTTAAATTGAACGGGGAATTCAAAAATAATTTTTATTTGGCAAAAACTATTGGCGTGCCATTTTTTTCTTGAAAAATATAAAGCTAAGAATTATTTTTGCATTGAAAAATATGCAACTTTATTAACATTCACTACATACTAAATATCAGTGAAATATCTGAAGCGGTTCTGAAAATATTAATTAATTTCCATGTTTTTCCTAAAACTTCAACATCCCGAGTTTTTGTAAGGAAACATTTTTGGACCATAGGTTATGAAGCAAACTAACATTAATTTTTCCTGTAGATTCATACCCTTAACTATTCGCATATCATTAAGGAACACCCTGTATATCTAGTTAGAAATGAACGTTATGATCGAAGCATGTTCACATACCTTAAAACAAGAAACCACTCAACCAATTCAGAACCACTAATCGCGTATTAAAACCAGACAATTCTGATCGAAAGTCAAACTAGTAATGCAGTCTTTAAGCTCAAACAATGAGTCTCAGGAAGCGGCAGCGCACCCCCACCAAAGCTTAGGTATCTACAAGCCGACCAATTGCAAAAATTATCCAAATAAGTAACTTTTGGCACGTACTGGTGCTTTCAGCATTATACGTTCGTAAGTTTCCCTACGATATTGCAAAAATGATCGGCGAAGATAATAACAAATGCTGTGAGGCAGCTTTATTGGTCGCCGTTGATGAATGAGTTATCAAACATTTTGCCGGTGCTTTGTTATGTTAAATGATTCATGCCGAGTAGTATCTCACCTACTGAAGGTACACTCAGAAAAATAAATGATTAACGTATTCGCTTAGAAGATGCCCAACACCGTGCTGTATCTGGACGTTTACATTATACGATTTCTATCGCAGCCATGCTGCCTAGTAAGATTGCCGTATTTCCATAATTCCAGAAAATTGTTTATTCAAATATGTACATCCCATCAGCCTTCCAATGAAAAATCACCCCTACGAGGGCGGCCGATAAGTACTTAGCGTATAAAAGAAAAACGGAAATTTTTGGAAA